GCAGCCGTGTGTGTGTGTGTGTGTGTGTGGGGGGGGGGGGGGGATGGAAAAGGACGCGCGAAAAGCATGTGAAATTTGGGAGTCACTTGGTTGTTTTGGGGAATGAGAGTCTGGAACGCTTCGGGGGTTGATAAGGGAAGTGTGGGGTAGGGAGGCTTGGTACGTCACTGGGACTGACAGGGTGCTTGCGAGTGGCGCTGACTGCGCTACATGTTGCATGGGGCCAATGCGACATGTACGTATTCAAGTGTACCAAAAAAAACATGCGTGTGAGACTAGAGCTTTTGTTTGAAGAAAAGGAGGAGGTTTAATATAGCATGTAATCGTATGATCGTGTATTCATCTATTCAATCAACAGGCTCAGAAGGAATCCCCCACTCATTCTCCTCTTCCTCGTCTTCTCTCTCCCCTTCCTGCCCTTCCTCCTCCTCCCCAACCCACCCCATTCCCCCTTCCACAACCTCAAACCGCTCCAAAAGCCCAACATCCCACCCCTGAAACTTCTTCGCAGTCGGCGGTAACAACCGCTGACTCTGCCGTAGCGCTTGATCCAGCTCGTTGTATAAGTCTTTGGAAAACTCTACATCTTCTATACTCGCACTCTCAACGTCGCCGGGTTGCAGCGGCGCCCAGGTTTGTCTTTGGTAGAAGATTTTCATGCAGCGGGTGGGGTCGAAACGGTTGGGGGAGGGGATCGAGGAGGAGAAGAGGAGGTCTGGGGTGAAGACCCATATGAGGATGGAGGGTGTGGGTTCTACTGTGTTGTCTGGAGGAGGGGTAGGGGTGTGAATGTGGAATTTTCGGACTGCAGTGTTTTCTATGAGAAAGAGGAGACGGGCTGAGATCCATTTTTGTGGTGAGTAGAAAAAAGATGGGATGTTGGCAAATTTGGAAGATAGGGTTAAGCGCCATTTATGGATGCGCCAGCCGTTTGTGAGGGGATCTTGGATACCGAGGGGTTGGGTGCAGTGTTTGCAGAGGAGTGTGTGCGGATTTACTTCTTCTTTATTCTCTTCGGCAGATAGCTATGAAGTGTTAGTATCACATAGAGAAGAAAAAAAAGGACATCTATATGTATGAAGAAAGAGCATGTAGCCTTGGACTAAACCTGTCAATCCCAATGGTCAAAGGGTATAGAGACAGTGAAACGCCAGGCCGCTGTCTCCACGGAATCAGCAACCCATCAACCTCGAAAGGAGAAGGTATATCCGGAACCAGGAGACCGTGTGTGAGCCTGTTGCTCTGGGGCGCTTGTATCAACGATAGTGCCATGGAAAAAGGCTATGTCGCCTTCTTTGCGCCCCGACGCGCGTATGATGAAATAACAACATACGAGCGCGTGAATAAATAAAAATCAGAAGAAAGTTATGGGCTTACCTGCGCGCCCACACAATCAGATTCCGCAAAGAGGAAGCTTGCGAGATCCACAAAGCCCACCCCTTCCTTTGCCTGTAGACGGTTGGCAGCCGCGTAGCCCTTCTGTCCAATCGCATGTTCATGCGTGTGATTGTGCAAGTGATGCTCATCCGGTTTGTGACAGTGCCAGAAGTCCATCATCTCAGCCCAATTCTCATTAGGCAAATCTTTCCACTGATGAATCTTTCCCTTTGGCACAACAATGCGCTCACAGCTTTTGCACAGTATCTCTGCATCCTCTGCGCCGTTCAGCGAGGCACCGTCCCAAGGCACAATGTTAGCCTGTCGGTCTTGGCGTTGCAGAGCCCCCAAAAGATCACTTCCTTCCTTCTCTTCCAGTTGCAGGCGTAGCGTCAGCTCCTTACTTGGAGGACGCGATGGTAATTCGAGTGCGGCATCGCCAGCACCCTTGACGTTGATCGGCAGACGTATTGTTGCTGACTCTCCCTCATGCGACACGGTGATGTAGGAGCCATCGGCGGACAGCTTCGCGTCTGTCTGCCGCGAGTGGTTTGTGCGCAGCGACGCAAAGAGCGTTACTGTCCGGATATGCAGCAAGAGCTCGGCGTACAGGGTTATCGACGTTTCGTTGGGCAACATGGGGCGTGCATTATCCTCGTCGCTCTGTAGCAGATTCGGGGCGTGAACCTTGGTGGGTTCCGGCGCAGGCTTAGGGTTCATCAGGTCTTTGATCGTTTCAGGAGACAGACCGAGCGCTTCGTATGCTGACTCGGGAAGTAGCGGGCGCGACATACTTCGTGATTGCGCTCCATGGTGGCGGGGATGGACGTGGGGTTGCTAGTAAGTCAATGAGCTTGCGCGCGACAAAGTTGACTTAACCAAGACAAGAGTGGGTCCGCCTGGGAGATTCTAACTGCATCCAGCCTTCTTGATGCATCTCGCTCGGAGCCATACGGCGCAATTATATGTATTATGTACTACTTCTGCTGCATGCAATAATGCTATCAACTGTGACATGAAATTAAATTTACTCAACCATGTTGCTCGTGACTTCTTTCAGCGTGTTCGAACCGCATCTACTGTCCCTTCTTCTCCTCTGCCTTCTTCTCCTGCTCCAAAATGTATTGCACGCCTCTCTTGATACCTTCGTCAAGATCAACAAGCGGCGCATATCCCAGTCGCTGCTTTGCCTTGTTGATGCTGTGGTATTTGGACATGCTACTGTACTTTACTTGAGCCCGGGTCAGGTTCGGTTTCTTGCCCATGAGCCAGAACACGTTCTCCAAGACCGCGCCAATGGCCCAGGCAAAATCAGCGCTAAGATGCCAGACGCTACTCAAGGGCACGCGGTCACCTGCCTCATGCCAGACTTTGCGCGCAAAGTCCCAGAAGTAAACAGGCTGGCCATTGGTGATGAAGAAGGCCTCACCATCCACGCGCTCTGTGTCCAGAGGGATGGTGGGCAGAACTTTGTGGGTATGGAGGAGAGCCAGAACAGCGAGGACGTGACCATGGGCGACATTCTCAACATACGTAAAATCGAACAAGTTTGTGTTGTCGCCGACCTGAAACTTGGTTTGTCCCTTGCGGCACGCGGCGACCATCTTGGGAAGCAATTGAACATCGCCCTCGCCGAAGATGCCTGCAGGACGGATAGCGCAGGTCAGGAAGTTTTCGGGGTTGCGGTTCGCTTGGAGTACGGCGGTCTCTGCGTAGGCCTACATGCATGGATTAGCAATGGCAAGTAAACGAAGAATGTCCGCTTACCTTGGTAGTAGTGTAGTACTCGGGTTGGTCAGCACCAGTGACAAGAGGCCACCTTTCGTCCGCATTGATGAGCTCTGTCGTAGGATCGAGAATCACACTTGCTGAACTTGTGTAGACAAAGGCCTTGACACCAGCTTCTTGCGCCGCTTGCAGCAAGACCTTGGTTCCTCCAACATTGACCTTGTCGTGGATTTCAGGCTTCAGGTCGAAGTGTGGAGAGGCTGTGTGAATGACCGAGTGGGGCTTGACCTGGGAAAACAGAGCCTTCATTGCAGCAGCATCGGTGATGTCGCCATCATGGTAGGAGACGGTCGGACTGGCATGGCGATTTGAGCTGGTCCGCAAATCAAGGACTGCAATCTGTGTTTGTGGGTGGCGCTTCACAATGAAGCTGACGATGTGACTGCCTAGGAAGCCGCACCCGCCGACGACGAGGACCTTTCCGAGAGACTGTATTTCTTCCGCACGCGACATTGTGGATGATGTTTAGTAATGGCGAAAGAGACGGTACGGGGATTAAGGTTTGCTTGCGGAGAGGTCGGGGATCTATTTCCGCCCAGGGGTATTGCATGGATTGGCAGTCCCCGCATGTTGCTCAGGGTCCGGACGGTCTTAGTCCGGCCATGCTCTACTCCTGGACGAGTCTACAATCTTCAACATTACATCATTCTCTGAATCATGCTCTCGTGAATTCACTTCGCGAAGAGAAATTTACCATAGTTGAAAGTTTGAGGCGGTATTTTGCACACATAGACTTGGTTCGTATTATCTGGCTTTCGTTCAATGCCTGTAACCCATATAGATGCATATACGCGCACATGTGCGCCCATGCAAGAACTCGATGTATTCATGATAAATTGTACCACCATTGGTTAACTAACGCCATATTTTGAGGTGGTCATCTTTCATACTACGATGCCTAGTAGAGCCCACAAACGCCGTATAATGCAAGCCTGGATCAGACTTGGGGTATCATGTAAGATCATCACTAATGCGGTAGGCCGTTAAATCGTCATCCGCATAACCCTCTTTTTTTAACTTAGAAGAAATTTCTATGTTTTGATCAGCACATGGCTACGACGTAACAGACAGCAGACTTACTCAGCGCTGTCTTGCGCGGACCGCCTCAAGCGACGGTTGTAGAGCTTCTTGTCTTCTGGACTTCCCCAGAAAAGCTTTGCAGCCTCGGGATTTACCAACGTGCGCGGGTCGTACGCAGGTGACTCCTCCTCGATAGCTGCAATGATAGCCTCAATGTGCGACCGCATATCGTCTTTGCGAGCAGCGTCGTAACAAAGAATACCGTCGGGGGACACGCGATGGTGGTACAGAATTGGTGTCTCGAACCGGACTCGAGGTAGGACATCTGGGAACTTGGGGCTGATGTATAGCCTAATCCTGAACATGCCTCCGTCAAGGTTTGTCATGGGCCGACCAAAGAGCACCAGCTGCCATACAAATGGATTCTTGTCGACCAAGTCAAGGTCCAATGCGATTGCGTCTTGCTTCTTGTACTTCTCGACAATCTGTTCGTATTGCCGCTGAAGGTTGTTGGCAATGCTCATCTCTTTCTTAACGGCTGCCATGCCTTCCAAGGCCCAAGATTCCATTTCCTTGTTGAGAGTCTCGAAAATCTTGACGAGGCGCTCCCGGAGAGACGTGTATTGGAAAACGCCCTCCATGGTATTTCCTGGACCTTCGAATGGCATCTTCTCAAAGCGATCTCCATCTTTGTTCTGCTTGACCGCTTCGTCTACCCGGGTGAGATAGGACTGATAGTACCACAGAAAACGTCGCTTGCAGAGATCCTTGAAAGGCTCGAACGGCGCATCGTCTCTGTTGGACTGGTAGTCTTCTTCAGCGTTGTAGATTGTCACGCCAGGCCTCTGTCGGTTGATGCCTAGGTATTCCTCAAGCCGTTCAATAACAGATATGCGTAGAGACTCATGTCGAATCTTGTCTACGTATGCTTCTTGGTTCTTCTTGTCATAGTCGGAGTTCGCGTCTTCAAAACCGGGCTCGTTCTCGTACGGGTTGCCGGACATGAGACTCTGGATGGAGATCAGGATTGACTCGAGGCCTTGTGCAGATGACCACTCTTCACCACGCTCGCCTCGCCATGTGCTGGATCATGTAAGTTTTGGAATAGGTAGAGAACGTGGTTTTGCTGACCCAAGAATTGACAGGCACACCTTTCCGCCTGCGTAGATGTTGGGATTGAAGCGCGTGCGCCCGCCGTTTGTGGTTATGGCTGTTACGCTTGGTGCTTTGGTTGGATAGTCTCGAGTGAACTTGACGGCAAATTCGAAGAAGCCAAACTCGTATGGGGTATCAGGCGGGCCTATGATGAGTGCCCGCACATGGCGCACATCGATGTCGCGGCAGGCGACGGCTATTGAGAGGTCGGATCCGCGCTGGATCTCGCCCAATTCGCGGGTGATTCTGAGAATACACTGATTCGACATGGTCCCGTGGCAACGTCTCTGCTAGGGTCTCGTATGTGAGTAGGTTGTGCGGGCTGGAGGCGCGGGGTCAGTGGGCTTAGTGAGGGCCTAGAGGAGACAGCTGATCGAACGGTCTGGAAGTCGTTATTGGGCAAAGTGACTGACAGCCGACAAGCAGTCGCTCGGGCACCTCTAGGCTACCGTATCGGCAATCAAATGCGCAAATCCCGCAAGATTCAGCAGCCTCGTGGGTTCGTTTGCTTGATTTCGCGACGCCGTTGGAGTTGTGGTTCAGAAGAAAGTGAGGAGAAAACAAAGTATTATGTGGGTGACCTTGTACCCCCAGCCGACAGCAGTAGAAGAACTTGCAGGAAGGCTGTAGATCGTTACGGTGTCAAGGCAGGCATGGGTAACGAAGCCCTAGTAGCTCGGGTTGCAGGGAGATGCATGCGGAGGGGCAGAATCCGTCACCGCTCACGGAACCCAAGCCGCAACACCACGCTCTAATTGTCGCGATAGCCAGCAGATAAGGCTGCGTCTGCAACATGTATGCCTCAGGTCTTGTATCATAGCATTCCAGCTAACGGTCATAGGGTTGTCTTTGCGCTCTTCATAGTAAGCAAGTCGGGTGGCCTCATCTACAACCGCGAGTTTCACACGGGCATGAACAAGCTCACCAGCAATGACTACCTTATGCTTGCTGGATCCTTCCATGGGTCAGCCCTACTACAAGCGCAATCATGGCTCTGCTAACCCCGCTCCAGTATGCACGCCATAACCGCCCAACTCTCTCCTGTGCCACCCGCTCGCGCACCCCCTCCCTCAACTACCACCCCAAACTTGCAAACCTTCCCCGTCCGCGCTACCGGTATTGAAGTGCTCGAAAGCTCCCACTTCCGCATTCAATGCTTCCAAACACAAACCGGAGTAAAGTTTCTACTCTTCACCGAGCCGCAACAACCAAACGTGGATACAATGATAAAGAAGATATATGAATTGTATGCCGACTACGTCATGAAGAATCCATTCTACACCGTGGAAATGCCCATCCGATGCGACAAGTTCGATCGAGGGTTGGATGGATTCGTGAAGGTGAGAGGGTGAGGGCAGCACAGTCTATAAGGAGGACATGACGATCGCGGAATGAGGGGCTGGTCATGGCATGTGGCCGCAATTGATATACATGGCCATATGAGAAACGCCCAGCTCGCACGCCCATAGTGCATGCATAGTGTGCATCAAGGAGCGCGGCGATTGTGGAAAGACGTTGGGTTTAAGAGCAGCATCTTCAAAGACAGATCACTCTCAATGGCTCCTACCGTTGCAACAGACGTCGACGTCATTGAAGCGTCGTTTGGATAGGGATAGCCGGGCTCGAGGGACACGAGTCATCAACAAACACGACACATGATCATGTCAGGTTAAGCAGATTGGCAAAATCATTATTTGTTTCATTCATCCATCTGTGTCAGATGTGGTGACACTAGCTCTAGTCATACAGTAGACGCCGTAGATGCTCTGCCCGGTAGAAAGGCTCTATACGGAAGCTATGCCAAACGCACCTTGACGCCGTGCCACGCCTACTCTGGCTCATGCTGTGTCCATCTTATCTGTGTCATCGTCCTTTTTGTTCTTGCTTCCACTTCCACTAGGCTGACCCTGATCATCTAACAATGGTTGCTTCTCATCGCCCTCAGCAACTGGCTCTAGCTCCGACTTGCCCTCCGCAGCCTCCTTAGCCTTCTTATCCTTCTCTTGTCGTGCCTTCTCTTCTTCGAAAGACATTCTAAGCGCAAGTGCAAGTTCCGGGTCGACCGAAGGATCTACTCCGAACTCGAAGTCATTGCCGCCCGATGCACCGCCGCCACCACCTCCAGAACCGCCTTCGCCCCCAGCGTTGGACGCGCCCTCTCCGCCGACAATGGGTGTGGTAATCAAAGAATCGCTGAGTAGGTTTGCGCTGGGTGGGATGATGGCTAGGTAGGAGCCTTCGGCGCTCTGCACGTTGTCGCTGAAGGCCTGGAGTTTCCGCGTGGTGTCGTCACTGAGTTCGCCGAACGCGATGATATCAATGCTGATACCGCTCTTCTTCATCTTCTTCGCCAATTTCACCAGGTTCTTCTCCTCTTCCTCGATAGGACTGCAGTTGAATATGACTATTCTCTGCTTCTGTGACTTGTTCTGCCTATGCTTGAGAGCCAGCTGCGCGCCCTGGTCAGAAGTGATCCCATCTAATGTTACAGGAGAACGTACCGCCGCCACGTTGATGCCAGTGACGAAATGTGAGCTACCCTTTATCTTTGTCCTGTGCAGTCCATCAAGCACCTTGCCAATATCCGTTGTCAGAGTCGTGAGGATCTCCGGAGTGTTGCCTCCCATGCTCATCAAGCCCACAGAAGACTCTGGGTTTGCTCCAGTCTTCGCGGAGAAGATCATGTTGACAGCATCCTGTTGCGCTTCCCATCGCGAGGGTACATAATCGCCGTTTCGACTAGCTTCGCTGTTGTCAACACTGCGAAGGTTAGTAAGGAAAGGCAGATGTGGGGTTTGGAGGCAAACGTACACTATCATGGAGGCTTCTAACACCATCTTGAATGTGATTTGTCCTAGGTGTCGAAGTGATAGTTTGGGGTAGTTGATTAGATCGACGGTTACGGTATGCTGCTGAGCTTAGGTCGCCGCAGCGGAGACCGGAGGCTGGCAAGCAAACCCCCGACGTCACGTGGGGACGAGAGACAGCGGGAGACCGTGCGGGACAATGCCAGAGGAAATGACTCGTATTCCGATGGAGATAATCGAAACCTTACTCGTGTGTTTTGAGATATGGTGAATTGCGCGCCTTATTGTGCAGCGCTGTGTTGTAGTCGTTTTGTTGGAAGTGACTCATTTGGTACTCGCTGAAGAAACAATGTCGTAATTATTATTCTACATTCTGTGCAGCCTGGAGGTGGTCGGCAACCTTGGCATAGGTGTAAGTACAAAAGCCTCGCCAACTGTTCATCTTTCCTTCCTCCACCATCCCACACCACACAGAAGCCGCAACCAACACCACCCACAACCACGCCAGAATACACCAAAAACTCTCCCAGCTGTTGCAAAAGGTACCGGATAGCCTCGCGGCGTTTTTTCTCACCTTGTATCTGCTCTCCCATTGTCAGCGTCGCGGCCTAGTACGCGTTGTTTACTCTCTGGACCCAGCACCTGAAGGACACAGCCTCAATCGCAGCAACGGCACCAAAGCTTCTTTGGACTACCCAAGGATCTCTTCGCGACTCTAAGGGATTTTCTGAAAACTTCTCGTCATACCCGTTACCGCCATCCCGCTACCGCCATCAACCTGGTGGTTGTTCACGCGTCACTACTACCGTCACCATGAACAACATTGCCGGCGGACTTACAGCTGAGGCCAAGGCCAATATGCTTGCGAACCTCCAAATCGAACTCAACTCGCGCATTGAGAAGCTGCGATCCCAGTGCGAGGCTCAGTGCGCCAGTATGCAGTCGCGCCTCGAGCGACGCGTCAACCGCATCCCGGTCGTGACGCGCCAAACCACACTCGCCAACCTCCTCAAAGCATCAGCACCAGTACAACTTATTGTCGCGCCTGCCCCACCAACCAAGGTCACAACTACAACCGCCGTCATCACAACATCGACTACCACTACTGCCGCCACCAAGAAGGCAGCCGGTACTGGCACTGCTGGCCGCAAACCTCGCAATGCTGCTCCCAGCGCGCCTTCTTCAAGACCCGCATCCTCTCCAGAAGTGCGCATCAAGTCCACTTCCACAACCAAGACTACCAATACCAAGACTGTCCCCACATACGCCAAAGCAACAAAGACGGCCCGAGCGAAGAAGCGCAGCAGCGACGAACTGTCTGGCGAGGACAAGGAAAACTCCGAATTGCCTGTGCCCAAGAAGCGCACTAGAAATGTTGCTCCCAAGACTGAAGTCGAGAAGGCTGAAAAAGCCGAGAAGAAGACGACGGCCAGTGGCATCACACGTTCGACTCGGGCTGGATCTCGCACCAAGCCTGCGGGCGGCCATGTACTGTCTCCCAAGACCAACGCAGCCAACGCGCGCAAGCCCGCTCCTACTGCGCGTAGCGTCCGCCCCCGGTAGCGCCCTTAGACGGATATGGTTACGCAGCATATGTTATTTTGGCGTTTGGTGATGATACCCCTCTCGTTTTTCGGCATCTGGGCGGCGCTATTTGTTTTCAAAGTGTTTTTTTGATTGTTTTTTTTGTTTTTGTCTGGAATCCCTGAATTTCTGGGTTTCCTGCATTTTCTCGATGATTGACTCTCCGGATATCTGGATTTTGATTTTTCTCTCTTCGACTTTCACATCATCTCGACTCCAGCAGTTTGGTTCACCTCGCCATTGGCTTGAATGAAGGTCTCTTTCCCCCGTTCGAGTTCCAGCCGCCCGCAAGGGAAGGCTCTCACGGGGGAAATTTTCCGGAACACAGCCGGGTTGGAGGAGATATATCTTGCTGGGGTTGAGGGCAAAAGTGTGGGGTTCGCTTCGCATCGTGTATTAGTTTTGTTGTCTATGTTTTTTCTTGTTTTTTGGATTTTGTTTGATTGTTCAATTTTGCATAGCGATGAACGCTTTGCTTATTTTGTTGGACTGTTGTTTTGCATAGCGACGAAGGCTCTACTCATGTAGCATAGGAGAGAGATGAATCATGACATGACATTTTCATTTTCTTCGTCATAGCAATAGTCGTGGTGTTTGATGAGCCTAATCCAGAGACTTCAAAAAACATAATAGGTATACAGCGATGATAACAATAGGGTAACTTTTCAGGTCTCCCATCTCCCAGACGCGTTTTTTAGTCCCATTCCATGATAGCTTCCTCGACAAGCGGCTTAATGACCTTCCTGCCCGCATCCGATCTATGCTGCCAAACCATCTGCCTAGGCGCCAACTCATCCGCCCTGTGCCAAGGCTGGAAATCAATGCCGTCCTTGTTGTTCTCAATCGCGTCCTTGACAAGCTTGAAGAGCGAATCCGCTTGATCTTGATCAATACGCACATCGTCGCGGACAACAAGCACGATTTCCCTGATCTTCTCTTTGCTGCCGTCCTTGTAGTGCTTCTTGTACTTGTTGATTGAGACGGAGACGTCGACGTTGGCTTGGGCGGTCCATGCGGCGTGGATGGCGAACCAGTCTGTGCAAAGGTGTTAGCTTGAGACTTTTTGGGGGTAAACAAGGAAGGGGCAATTGAACGTACCAAATAGCTCCTGAAACTCGGTCTTGAGGATCTGTTCGTCCATGGAGTAAGGGATAGATGCGAAGCCGACGCTGATGGCAGGTGTGCGTGGAGAAGGCGTGTCGATTGCGTCGGACTTCCAATCGCGGCGGAGGAGGTCGTATAGGCCGAGATTGTCAATGTCCTTTTGGGCCTTGGTAAGTTCGTCATCGAGATCTTCCATGACGTCTTTGAGGTCGTCGTCCCTCCAGTTGCTGCGTGCGAGAATGCGCTTGGAAATCTCAATGTCGGCTTTGGTGGTCTTGTCGCCTGTGAGGCCGCCAGAGTCAATGGCAATGGCGCTGAGAATAAGCTCGAGGAGCTCGTGTGGCATGTGGTATTCTTCGTCGAGCTTCTCTAATTCGTCGAGCATTTGACGGGCGACAAGGGTTGTGCAGCTTGCTGCCGTCTCAAAGACACGGGGATCGGCGTCTGGTGCGGTGCCGCGGTCTTTGTGGTGGTCGAAAATGCTCAGAATCTTGGCGGCTGACCATTTCTTAAGGGGTTCCGAGTGGTCGACGAGGACAATGCCCTTGAGCTTGGTGCTCAATGTCTCTGGATCTTCGGGCAGTTCGTCTAGTGTCAGCAGGTCCTCGTGGCCAGGCGTCATTTGCGAATTGTCCAGGGCCAGCTTGTTCTCGGGCCTCAGATCAAGGGCATGGGACGGGGTCTGCAACAAGGCAATGGCCTTGAGGGGGTTGGAGGTGTTCATGGTGGCATGTTCGAGGTGGTATGCCCAGGTCAGAGCTGCAGTCATCGAGTCCATGTCACCGCCCTCATTGCCCTGGACCAGAATCCACTCCGACTCTTTTCCAGCTTGCCAATCAATCAGAAACTCCTTCTTGGTCTGGCGACTCCATTCGCTGAAGTGGCCGACTCCTACAGGCTTGGTGGATGGTTTGGATAACGCGTCAAGGACTACCTGCTGGGGTGCGGCAGCAACATGGCTGACAGCCATGAGGCCCGGCAAGAGGGCGCGAATAGGCTTCATGGTGGAGAGAGGTGGGATGTGATGGCGATAGGTGGGAAGAGAGGGCGTGGGTACTATAAATGTTGAGGCGCAAAGGCGGCCCTGTTTCAGGCACAGATGGGGACAGCAGGCGTGGGACTGTTGCGTCACAGCATTGGCCAAAGCGTGACGGGCCAAGGCAGAGACGCGTCTCAGCCCTATAGCAGGCTTGCCGCATCGAGCAAAAACTCGCCTCACTTGTGGTTTTCTGGCGACGTGTTGGGCTTTGGCAGAAAGCATGGAGCGACGGCATAAGTACAGAGGTACCGTTGGATTACACATTAGCGGGTTCGTAGTAATACACAATCCTAGCACATGACTGCGGAGGCAATGGCCATGCCTCTCGGTCGATCGGTGGAACCAGAAATCCCAGGCCAAGCGGGCTAGCCGACCAAAACGAGCAACCTTTACTACGAGATATCAGCACCATCGTAACATGATTTTTAATAAGATTTCGACTAGATGAAAACGCTAACCCGATGTCAATGATTCCCAAGCGAATGACAAATACAATAGTAATGGTGGTGGTGGGCGATGTTATCTCCCGACTTCATCGGTCGACCGAGAGCATGTATCGCGTCTTCGGCTGCTGTAGCTTGCTGCTTGTATGCTGTCAAGGCTAGGCTAGAGCCCATGAAGGATGCGGGACGCTGCCACGCTAGCACATGGCCAGGGTGACGGCTCGTTTATGTTCTGGTGGCACATCACGTTTCAGCGCGTGTTTATATGCCCACGGGATGTGTTGTATAGTGTGTAATCAAGCAGTAATATAGATGTATGGATGTAGTAGCAGTAGCTGGCGGCACTGTGCAAAAACAATATTGCACTCCCCGCACGGCCAGCGTGTTTATGACGCAAAGTTTCCGGCTGCTGTTTGGTCCGGGCGCCGGCCGTCGCGGAGTGGCTGTGGCGAGCCTTCCCCGTATACGCTGCCGCCCGTCCCTCCAGCCACAGCACTACAAAGACTACATCCATGCCCACTCCCTTAAAACCTTTGTCCACACCCTTTTCAGGACGCCTTGCATCCACATATGTACACATGCTGCTTCCCCCCTCCCTAGCGTCGCCCTAGCCTGACCCTGCCCAGGATCCACGCCCTATCTGCTTACTGAACCATCAACTAAGCTCTTGCCGGTTGCGACCGGACAGACGCACGCTTAGAAAGCACTGCATCTAACCATCTGCCCTTCTACTTCCCCAGCCCGGCTCCTCTGTCGCCCACGCTTTTTTTTTCCTGGGGAGACGCCCGTCGTGACTACTGCAACCATGGAACCCAGGCAAGACGATCAAAGCCTCCCACAGGCATCGCCCGTCACTTCGACTACTACCACCACTACCACCTCTGGTCCCCATACTACTACTATTTCAACCACTCACACGACTCCGGGACAAGGGGCCACGATACACCACTCTCCAGAGGGTTCAACCACCATCACTCACCCTACTGTTACTACCACCACCCACATACCTGCGCCCCAACCTTCTGCCTCACCACCGCGCGTGCACCAAGCGCCGTCATATCCCCTGAGACTACGCAGTTCCTCCGTCCGTACCCAGAGAGCTTCACTCCCACCTGAAAATACTTCACAGACTATCCAAGAGGCCGATGCAGCACCAGCTCCTTCAAATCAAGCGCTAGCTGTCGACGATGCATGGCAAGGTGGTCGTAGACGAAGCAGTTCCGAGCCGCGCCCGCCTCCACAAGCCATGTTCAATGACGATGCCCTGCGGCCTCAACTGACAGGAACGTCCCATTTACAGCCATTGTACGAACATGATACACAAGCTACGGCCCCTTTTTCTGGCAACGGTCCTCCGCAGGCTCAGGGTGCTAGCAACCCACGAAGAGGCCTCACTCGGACGTCTTCAGCCTTCCATATGCGTCGAAGCCAGAAGACTCCCCGCCAAAACATGATGGGTGATAATGTCGTTGACGTACTCGATGTCATTGGTTAGTGATCTCTCAACGGTTCACTATCGTAGGCTAATGCAATTCCCAGATCCCGAAATATCTACCCTGACGACACTAAACAATGTTCAAAACTCGTTGTTTATACCCAATCTGCCCTGGCTCTACAATCGCCAGCCTACATACGATCTGGTGCAGACTGAGTCTGAGTCATCCGATGAAGAAATGGGCACGGCTAGGGGAGCAAGAGACGCAGAAACGACACGAACGGGCGAAGCAGGACGACCAACGAGCGATGCACGCGGCGATGATGGTGAGTTGCTTCGCCGAAACTCAATCGACTCGGTTCTGTCCACTATGGAGGAAGGCCCCGGTCATCACTATGCCGTGCTCCCTCACGGTGCTTCCTTGACAGGATGGACAGACGAGGAGAAGGCAGCTCTCGATGACCATGTGCGTCATCTCCTTCACTCGCGACGCGCAAAGTTTAAGCGGACCATGAAGGGTTTCGGACGCTACGTCCGCAACCCGCTTGGCTTCATTGTCACGTTGTACTTCTTCCTCATTACCTTTTGGGGAGCAGCATGGGTTCTGTTTCTTATCGGTTGGATCTACGTTGGCCACCGACAAGACTATTTTGTCGAAATTGCCGACCAGATTCTTACCGCTCTGTTCTGTGTGGTTGGAATCACCATGTTTCCCTTCCGCCTTGTCGACACTTACCACATGGCTTTTGTCGCTTACTACGCGCACAAAACCTGGAGAATCCGCAAAGAGAGGGGCCTAAAGGAACTAAAGGACCACAACGAGCTCCCAGCTATGCCACCATCTTCTGCCTGGGAAACTGGAGAAGCGCTGGAGGAAGATGTGGAGACACCTGTGTTGACTGCGGAAGAGCAAAAGAAACTGGAACATCACCAGGGCAAGTTGGCCAAGTCGCATACGTTCTACCGGCCTCACGAAACATATACACACCATGCCTTTTCCATTCGTCTACTCATCACCATTATCGTCCTTCTCGACTTCCACTCTATGTTCCAATGTGCCCTTGGTGGCACTACATGGGGCATCTACTACAAGAATCGGCCCAAAGAAGTCACCGCTATCATCCTCAGCTTCAGTCTTACATGCAATATTACTGCCGGTATCCTCATTGGCCGAGGCGACCGGCGCAGCCGCAAGACACTAGTCGTTGAGCAGATGCTCCGCCAAGAAATGACAGAGGAAGCACTCAAGAAGCTGAGGAAGGAACGCGGTATCAAGGCAAAGGGACTTATGAACAAGACGGAAAAGAAGCAGATGGACAAGAAGTTGGGCCAGAGGACCAAGAATCCCTTGGACACTATTTTGCATCGCGGTTAGAATGCTAGCGTTGTTGTTTGCATTTTCTTTTTTCAAACATTATAGAAAAGTTTCCGAGAAGCCATCTTTCTCGTTCTATTGGATTTAATGACATATACCCTTTTCTGGCGGTCTCGGTTGCCAATTTCCCTTCACATACAAATAACTCGTTTGCGCGTTCTGTATTACTCAGTCTGACTTGCATCAAGCTATATACCCTGTTTCCCTTCCATTTCCGAATCCGCACCATTCCTCTTTCTTTTCCCCCAAACCTCCCCTTGCATTCGCTTTTCCTTCTCTCCTTACAAAAAAAGCCTCATTTTCCCCGAAAAAGGGTAAAGAGCGCGTTTTCTCCCCTTCCACATTTCCTACGTGGGCTCACCTTCCCTTTTTATGCCAGAATTGGAAAAAATAAAACTTACGAGTAATGGCAATGTCCCCCCCCCCCCACACACACGCCCATGGTCTGACTCGTCTGTTGCTTGGGATCCCCCTTACCCTAAGACAACCACTATACCCCTGTTTATTTCTTCTTCTTTGTGCCCCGAAACTTAAAAAAAAAAAGCGAGGAGATTTTGAAAGGCAAGGGGAAAGAGAGTTTAGGACACGTGGTGGTGGAGTGGGTCGGGGGAGGGGGGGGGGCTTGGAACGCCTTATTTATAAAGTTTTATGAAAAGAGGAAAATTTCTGAAGAAAGAAAAAAAATATAGTGAAAAACGCCACAAAGTGTATATACCACGTGGAGCAGAATCCGCGGAAACGGAGAGTACGGGTTGTGTATGGGCAAGGCGTTCTTGGTAAGTATCGAGTCTGTACTCACCTCGAGCTTTTTTTTTTCTTGGCTTCATCCAATCCAAGACCACTTCAATACCAATCAACCCAACTTTTCCAGTCCAACACTTTTTACGAATCGAATATACCTCTGAGAGCGCCCCCCCCCCCCTCTCCTCCCCCGGTGATACTATAGAGCCGTCGATTTTCTAAACTATTACTATCGCTTTCACGTATCTTATATCCAAAGATGTATTCTCACGGCAGCTGAAATAAAATAGATGGATTGGAGAGGTACATAACCTCGCTTTCGCCTCAAAAAGAACGCGTAGGTCAAGTATATTCCCAGCTCTCTCTCTCTCTCTCAGTTCTCGAAAAAAAATATATAGTGGTATCTGATCGAATATCGCTCTAGACTCCCCTTTCTAAGGCTAGTGTAGAGTTCTCGGATTGTGAGCTGGGGTAAGCGCGGTCTAGTTAGTAGATTGGATTAGAAACGGAAAAGGAAGATGGGGGGGGGGGGGGGGATGGGTGTGGTGGAAGTAGGAGAGAGAGTAGATTGGATTGACTGCATGCATCCTTGGATGTTGAGTGTGTGTGTGTGTCGAATATAGCAAAAGAGAAATGCGAGAAAGTTTGTTTGTGCGTATGATGGGTTTATCTGATATCTATGAAAGTGATGTCAATGATAGTAGTAGTACTAAACAAGTAACAAAGGGAATTCTCTTACTAACGTTAGATGGTGACATAGAAGGGGGTATAGTTCAGGACAATCGTCCGTAGAGGTCTGCACGGGGCCTTTGTGAGGCAATCCCACCAATCTGAAGGCTGAATTCCAACATAGTCGCTAAGCATCGATCTTGGTAATTAACTAGGTCTTAAATACCATCGAAGCACAGCAAACACCACACATAACAAACAATTACCATGGAATCGAATCACAAACAATATTGACCTGGATTGTTTTCAGGCTATGGTAAATACAGAGCATCCGTCCTTTTCAGTGATATACGTAGAAGTACAAGCCAACAGATGCCTTTTTGAAGTTTTCTCATCTTTTCTTAATCCACCCTGGAAATATATGGCGTATAAATTTTTCTGTCCAGCTTGCCGGGTAATTACTCCTTTCCTGTAAACAGATGATGCCCTACGTTCATATAGTAGAAATAAAAATGTCCTCCCCTTCACCCCGGGAGACCGAAAAAAAGGCCGCAAAGGCCATGCTACGAGAAGTTTTTCCATGCTGAAAAGGTCGTAAAGCACATTCGAAGGTAATTAACGCCATGCTCAGGGGGTTCCGTTGACCTAGAGTCAACTAAGGCGTGTACCCATGTCGATATAACGCTTAAGCGCACACCCGCCTCGAACCCCTCGATGAGAAAGAGCAAAAAAGGTCAAGGCGAACATCCCGTAAATGTGGCGTAACTGGATCCGGCGCTAAATCGACAACGATTGCGCAAGTCTTTATCCGTCCGCAAGCTTTGTGGAATAGTGCCAAAGGCAAGCTGTTGAGCAGACGCGCTCAGCCTGACTAAGTTTGAAGAGAAATATGGTTTTAGCGATGTGAATGCTCATATGGGCGCATTCCACCAAACTCGACGCCTTGCATCGCATTGGCATGCGGTGGCACCCACGAGGCTGGCGGTTGTTGTTGTTGTTGTTGTTGCTGTTGTTGTTGCTGTTGCTGAAGTGGCGGGAGCACGGTGGTGGCAGAACCAGGCGTTGTAGGATGCCCTTGAGCGAGATGACCAGTCATGCTTCCGTAGACGTGTGCATTGTTGGGGTCAACACGACGAAGAGCATTCCATACGGCTGTCAATTCGGAGCGAAGTAGCTCGTTCTCCTCTTGGGCCCGTCGACAATATTCAGCGTCAGGTCGCAAGCGACCAATCTCTTCGCGAGCAGTCTGGTGTGCTCTGGTTAGATTCCGTATGTACTCAATGGCTGGTAAGTTGTTAGCAAGATACATGAGAGAGGCCGTGGACAATCCTACCTTTGGTGAGTATCTCCCACTTGCTTGATTTGCTGCCTGGCGAGTTGGGCAAGATGTTGTTTAGGTCATCAAACAAAGTCTTCATCTCGCTTCTGCGCTTCCTCTCAGCCATTTTGTGGCTCACGCGAAGTTCGGGTGTCCGACTATAGCTTCCGCCACCAGGAGTCAATGGATTACTGGGGTCTATGCTCTGAAGATTCGTAACGCTACGATGTTGCATAGAATGATGGTGGGTACTTGGAATGTCTACATCAGTCAGTAATGTCACATGAGATAGACTGGAATACATGCCGTCATCTAGCCGCTGTTGGCCTTGGGGTAATCTTGAGTCAGTAGTGTATATACTACTATTGATTGAAGTTGCAATACTGTTTTGACGCGAAGGCACATTTGAGCGATCAATGCTAGACTCACCACTACTCGATGCTCTTTTGTCCTCATGCTCAAAGTCGTCTGCTGGAAAGGCCCAAGCATATCCCTTGGTCGGTGCCGAGGCGGTAGGATTGGGTGCTCCGGATACACTCTTGGGGTTTGGAGTAATGACGGGAGCGCGCCGTGGAGGGTGGTTCGCACGTGGACCATTGCGATTAGGCGACAGAGGAGAAGTGCCATTGGGGCGCGACTCGGGGTTTGCAATGCCTCGTTGCTGCTGCAGATTCGAGACAAGGGAGACTCGGGATGCATTCTGGCTCTCGTACGGCGATTGTGGATGGATACTGAGATGGCCCATGCCAACATTCATGCGGCTGTCTACACTGCTGCGTCGAGATTCTAGATGTGAACTGGCATCAACACTTAGTCTGTTGTCAAACCCTTGGTTGAGCGATGGCAAAGCACTTGGCTGTGAAGACTGAGAGAAGCCAGAAGGATACCTCGCCGATGATGGCGTCTCTGGTATCGATGCACGCGAGGGCGAATCTTCTGAAGGGTTCAGAAGAGTTTGCACCTGCAGCCCCATGTGCTGAGAGACAGTAGATGAGTCTGGCGTACACGTTAGGACAACGTGTAGGTGACAGGCAGGCGGTGGTGTTGGATACTCACGTTTGCTTGGAGCAATGGACCAATTTCCCGAGTCGCGGATGTCCCGGCTGTCCAATTGTTGCTTTGGCTGGGCCGGGCTGTGTTCAGCTGTAGGCAAGCCGTTTGTGAGTGTTGATAATGGTGGCAGTGATTGCTGCCCTTGAGGCAGCTTACCATGCACACCATTACCATGCTGCACTCGGGGTTGGGCTGTTGAATCCATGGCTGTGGGCTTCGCTCACGAGCGAGCAGTTTAATAGTAGCGGACAGTGTGGCCTCTGCGTTAGCGAAAAAGGTGTCTTGGTAGAGTAATGGATCACAGGGTTGAATGGTGACGAGCGACAGGACCAATAGGGAGGCTGACAGGGTGGCGGGCAAGTGGTAACGGGTCAGGGCAGGACCCAGGGTCTGGAAGAGGGTCCAAAAGTAATGATTGAGAAATAAAGGGGACCCGTTCCCAAGGATGGACGTATAGTAGAAGCGTGGAACGGAGAAGTCAGAGCGAGGCGGGGTGGGAAGGATAGTCGAGCTGAGCAGGGGATACTGCTTTGCACCTGCTCCAACGCGAGAATGGCAGGCGAGGAAGTGGGGCAGGGCAGGATAAAGCTACGCCAAGCCAGACTGGCACCGACTCAGAGGGCAAGCGCGATGCGACGAGGCACGCGGGAGGGCGCGCGCACGCCACACGTTGAATTGCGTCGACAGCGACAGCGAGAGCGAGGGCTAAGCAGCACCAACGGCGATGACGCCAGAGGCAGCACGAGGAGTGGGCAGAAAAGGAGCGTGCTGCGGGTGCAATGCTGCCACGAGAGCGTGTGGACGTGGTTGGTGGCAGGCGCAATTGGTCCAAGGCGTCCAGATGGTGGGATTTGGGATCGGCACGACGGAGAGAGGGACTGCGGCACTCAGGCGTCAAGCGAAGCGTCGTGGCGGGCGCTCGAGCAAGAGGTAGGCCGGCTGGGCCGAGTGGGTGGACGGAGAGGTGGGTGGCGTGTCGCTGCCGTGGTACACACGACGAGTTGACGTCTTACTAGGCTCAGGTGCGATGAGGTGAGGCGAGGCGTGAAAAGAAAGTCGAATGCGGATGGCAGATTCTGTAAGGGCCAGGGCGCGTGAGACCGAAGAATACACCCGGGGGAGGGGCGTTAAGCACACTCGGCAGACAAGCAGGTCGGGTGCATGTCGCGAAGAAGGTGGGGAAAAAAGAACGAAGTGGCCGAATAATAAGAAGTAGCAGCAGCAGCAGCGGCAGAAGAAGAGGAAGAGGAAAAAGGACAAGAACAGGGACAGGGACAGGGAGCCGGGCAGGGAGAAGAAGGGGAGAGAGGGAGAGAGAAGGACGGGACAGCAACAGCAGCAGCAGCAGTGATGGTGCCTTGCATAGACGGGCCCCAGGCAGTTCCAAGGACGCTTGGGAGGGGGGTGTGGTGGGAACACAAGCGGGCAGCGGGCAGCACAACAAAGCAGCGGGCAGCCGGCGGTTGGCGGTCAGGGAGCAAATGTACGACCGTCGGACGAGGCCTTGTAGAGAACGGAGAGAGTCGAGTCGAGTGTGGGTGAGGGTCGGCAGGGCCAGGGAACAGCCAATTAATGGATATGATGGCGCCGAGCACACGAGCGAGCCACACGTGGGAAATCGTTCAATCGAGGCCTCGTGTATCTCAGCAGCCCGTCTAGCGGCGGCTAGCTGCACTTTAATATGGGCACCCTGTCTCGACGCGTGAACTGGTGCCCGCGCTACCGACTCTGCTCCAGACGGGGGACGCGGATTGACTCGGGGCGGCCAAGGGGGGTGCGGCGCAGAGTGCCTACTATGTAATAGTGTAGAGTATTCTTCTGTACGGTATACAGTAGTGTACATTCATACAGACAGACAGACAGACAGACAGACAGACAGACGAACAGCACAGTGACAGACGAGCAGAGGCCGGCACAACCACGACTACTACTTACTTGGCTACTTACGACGGCGGCCGGGCGCAACGCGGGATGCGAACATGGCAGAGGCTGGTCCTTTTGTCGTCACCGTCGCCCAAGCAGTGGTGCTAGCCCGCTGCCCGCTGTACCGCCACGAGGTCCCACATGTCCCTCTGCACATGCTACCCAACCGGCCACTGCGCCGAGCCCAAGCAAATTCTGCGACACGACAGGACAGCCAGCATGCCACTCACGCCTACGCAGTACTGTACGCTACCCTACCCTACGCTACCCTCCCTTACCCTGCCCTATACACTAACTACTCTGCTGCATCCGCCGCGAAACAAATCGACGTGGCCACTCCTCGCCGCCCATGCTGCAGCCATGCCGCGCTATCAGGACCCTCTTCCTCCACGTTCCTCTTCCCCCCCCCCATAACCCCCATAACCCCGATCCACGCGCCCTTCCTTCACACGCGCGCCTCGCCTCTGCATCCGTCCGTGGCAGCACATGCACCCCTGCCCGCAAGCTCCCGTCGCCTTCGCCTTCACCATTGCCATACTCTGCTAGCCCCCTGCCTGTCGTGCCGGGGGCCCTCTCGCAGATCGCCAGTGACCGTTACGCCCAGGCCCTTCATACCTGCTGTTTCCATCCTTGGGCCTTTGAAGAAGCCGTCCTCCAAAGCCAGGATTGCATGCGTCAGCCTCCAGAATCATGCCACTGCACCCGGAGCCCGTAGTCCTATTCGCTGCCAGTCCCGTGCTTCTGCCCCTCTTGGCATTTCTCCATCCACTCTGTCCCGTCCACAAACATTCACTCGTCCCTGCTTTCTTGATCGACATCCCAGTGCCCACTCCTCACGCCCATCCGGCGCCGACGAGATCCAGTATCCGTGCCATCCTGAGGTGACACGACCGAAGGCTAAACCTGCTTCTATTAATCCAGCATTAGTCTCGCGGCCAACACCAACATGGGTCGTGGCCAGACCGAGCTGCTGACTGCATCTTCTCTCATGCTTGTTCCTGCACCGCCTGTCGCCCTTTCGGCTCATGCCGACCTCGGCCCTCTATTACACCATGCATGTAGTATATGTTGTCCTCACCTCACTCTATACCTAATTACTTACTCGACTTGACCGTGCCACCTCACCCAGACCCAACCACCGGGTCCATACATTCAACCGCACAGACAACGGCCTTGTGCTGCCAGCTGCCACCTGATGTCTTGTACCTCAGCACACTGCTCCTTCCACTCTACTCTGTCTAACAATCGTGCTCTGCAATTCCCACATCAGTACCATGGATCGCTTGATCACGGCACCTCCACCGTCATCATCATCATCATCATCATTATCATTCCAATAGTATCACACCGTCCACATGGCCCTAGCACCTTGGTGCTAACATTCCAACGCAACAAATAATCGTCAGGCTTTATGGTTCCGTCCTGCTTTGTACACGGATGCCAACACTTGGGGCTACAAACACAACCATCACTAGCATGTAAGAGATGTGCGCCTCATCAGACACAGACGCCGTTGCACATGCAGGGCTACACCCCACAAGAGAGGAACAGCTCAGGGACCTTTTGTTGATAAAGTTTCAAACACGGCATACCCAATACTGCCACTCATGACGCTGCAACATTTGAGCAGCCTCTTTCTGCTGCTGCATCGTCATCACATGGGCCAGCACATTGTCCAGATGCGCCAGATTCGCACAGCAGACGGGCGTCAAGGACGGATGTTGTGCACTCAACCACACAACGCGTCAACCTGCCAGCGGCTGGTATCCGCTCATAGGTGGAACTGTTGGGGCGCTGGCGGGTAGTACACATGCAAGACAAGCCCAAGCCCGTCATTACACGCTGAATGTCGGTTGGCAACAAAAGACCAGTCGGCCGATGCCCCCCGTATGTATACAGCCTCCGCAATGCATTGATTCAAGGGCATTCGGTTGTCAAAGGGCTCAACCAGTTTGGGGTGCTGGCTAATTTGGTTTGGTGCTATCCAATCCAGTCCGCTCGGCGCTAATAGGGTCATGACCGACGAAATGAGACGGCTGCCGACCCGTCCTCGATACATGTGTATTCTGCACCTTGTCTCTGCATGCTTGCTGGTGACAAACTCGGCGTGCCATGGGCCGATGAGGGTGGCGACAGTACCTGAACAGGCAATGTACCGTCACCCATCTGCAATCAAAGAAGCCGAATGGCCCTGCAGCGTCGGCCACAGACTGGAGTGGTACATGCATATGCACATAGATACGACATATGTACATGGACCAAGTCCTACTACCCAGATGCCGTGCGACCATGAGTAGAGGAGCCTTCGCTTGGCGTCGAGTAACTAAGGCCTTCAAAGAAGGTTGCTTGCTAGCTCCGGGCGTCGAGAAACCTTCTCGGGGCGCCATTGCCTCACAAATCTAGTAGCACAATGAGACTCGGCCTCGACGGCTTTTGTCGCTTCAGGGCTCCCTACTGACGCGATTACTAGCGACCCGAAAAGACGGCACGCTACGCGCATGAAGGTCATTACAGGCACAAGTCGGCCCGTTCTTCCAAGCTCTGTGTCAGGCGCTTGCACCGCCATGCTGCCGCACGACAGGGGTGGCGTCGGCACTGAAAATCTGCCCTCACGTGAGGATCGCCGTGGCGGGGAACCTGGAACACTTCCCTAGCTGCTGCCTTGCGGGGCAGGGCTTGGTCTGCAGACAGGAACACGACGCGTCAAGCGGAGAATTAATTTACGATAGAGAAAAAAAAAAGAGAAGAACACGACGCATAATGTCCAACGTTGATGCGTACCATGTCGATGCAGTAAAACACCAAGGTGAGGATGCACTGCAGCAACAAGCCATCTTCCCTTTTCTTAAACTTCCTCGGGAGCTCAGAGATCATGTACGCACTTCACCTCTATCTATCATCCGTGCACACACACACCCATATCCTGCCGTATAACTAACAAGGCAGATAGATATATGACTATGCCTTTGCCACTCAAAACCACCGTTGCCAGCGGCCCATTGAGCGGCGCAATCTAAAGTACTTCCAGCCCAGTGCCGCTGCCATTCTTCTCATAACCCGCCATGACTACTTCCTCCTCAACCGCCAAGTCGCCCGTGAGGCGCTCGAGGTACTCTTCAAGCACCACACTGTCTATCTCAGTTGTGGACCCTTCGTACTCAAGACTCTGTTCGAAAAGATCGAAGAACCAAATGGCCCTGGCAGACAATGGCTCAAGTGGCTGAAAAAGATACACCTGGACTGGGAGACACTCCCCAACCTACGCAACTATCCCCCCGAGCGAGATGAGGCCCGAGTCGATGACTACTGGGAGCACGACCAAGTCCAAGTCGACGTCGACTACATCCGCGGCGCATACTACAACGCCCACTATGATGAATACGACCACGAAGGCCAACACTACGATGACAACTTGTACGACCCCCCAAACATGCCTCTATACCCTTCTTTCCGCCACCACACCCCCTCTCAACCCCCCAACGCAAACGACCCCTTTGGCCTCTCAACCCACTACCCCTTCATCGACCCCAACCGCGATCCAGCACAGGAAGCCTCAGCCGCAGACATATCCAGCAAACTTGACCTCCTCGTCTCCCTTGAAGTAACACCCTTATTCACCTACCTCTCTTCCCCTTCCTTCACCCTAACCAGTATAACCCTCCCCTTGGCCTTTATATCCCGCGAGTCGTACCACCACCGCCACCTCTCCCGCCCGGGCTACGCGCTCCCCGTGAAAATCCGCTACTGGATCCAAGTCTGTGTGCATGCACTACTTATGCTCGTTGCTCCACGTGCACTCGGCTGTGCTGGCGACTCGACGAGTCTCCAAGAAGTGCGTGTCCGCTACGCACCCACAGATATCTGGGCATCCATGGAACCAACGGATGATCTAGTGCGTATGGTAGATGAAGGCGTGTGGTTCGACGCTCCCGACGAGGGTCAGGAAGATGAGCGCCAGGGCCAGGGCGAAGCGTTTCGTGCCGTGTGGGAGGGCATGAAAGCGCGGATTCCGGTTGAGCATCGGAAAGAGCTGGGTAAGCGCTGGGGTCTGCGTGCCTCGGTCTCGTTTGTGCCTTGGGATGGCGAGATTGATAATGGCAGGGTTGGTGATGAGCTCGACGTCGTGTTTACGAGGGAGGATTCTGCCCGATAATTATGCCGAGAGGTCTTGAGATGGTGATTCATTTATTTTCACTCGCGAGGTCAATGTATGCATGTGGAAGAGAGAAAGAGAGAGAGAGAGGAAATTGTACAACTAAATAACTAACAAGTTTTTTTTTTCTTTCCCCGAGTTAAAAAAAAATAAAAATAAAAATAGACAATAGTAGAGGCATAATAGCCAACAACTCTTTCATTCTCAAGTTGAGGTCTTAGTATGGAAAAAGGTACATGTTTCCCCCCCCCCCCTCTCTCTCTCTCTCTCGGACCGTTTTCATCTGCATGTCATTGTTGCCAAAAAAAATTGCCTACAACACTTCCCCTCTTTCTTTCTCCCTTTTGCTTAAGACACAGCGACTTACACATCTGTTCTATCACAAAACAGCCAATCGCATGTAAAGACACACACACGCACAGACACGAACCCGAGGTTTCACCCTAGGTATCGATCGAAATAGACGAGAAGAAAGGAAGACTAATGTTACATTTCAAGATGTCTTTACAATCTCTCTTGTTTACGCCGCCACCGTCGCCCACAATCCCGCATCATTAGAGGGGTGAAAGTGTGGGGGAGGCATCTGTTAATACACACACACGAAAAAAAGAGAGGTCTTTCATGGCATACCCCTCTCTCCCCCAATCTTCATCCCTAAAAAAAAACGAAAAAACAGCCTGAGAGAAGACGAAGAAAAAAAAGACAGATGCAAGCCAACCAGCAAAAATCCGTCGGGAGCATTCGACCGAGGAAAAGAGAAGACCGAAAAAAGGTGTAAAAAAAAGCTAGACCTTTTTTTTTCCCTTTTGTCCTTTCTTTGTTTTTTTCTTTAAAAGTCCCAGAAAGACTTGTCAGCCGTCTTACGCCCGCCCATGCCATCACCCTCGGTCTTAATGCCGGCCTGCTTACCCGTAGGCTCTTTCTTGGCGGGGCTCTCGTCGAACAGGGACCAGGCAGCCTCGGTGCCCTTGCGCCCGCCCATGCCGTTGCCGGCAATGTTGATGCCGCGGTTCTCGGGCGAATCGGCGTGCGTGCCCCAGTGTGTCTTCATGGAGCTGCGCACTGCTTGGCTCGACTTGACATTTTCTTTCTTGCCTGCCACAGGGCTGTCGTCGGTCGTGTTGGTGACGTGGTCGTCGTAGAGGCCTTGGCCCTTGTTGCCCTGTTTGCCCTTTACGGGGCGTGCACGCTGGCCTTCCGGTGTGCCGTCGTCGTTGAATTCAAAGTGCGCATCTGCGTCAGGGCGGGCCTTGTGGACTATTGGGCGGCGGACGGGCGAGACATCGTCCTATAGTGGAGACATGTTAGCATCTTGTTTTTCCTTTCCAATGACGAGCAGAGATGGAGATGCAGCCTCTATCTCTGCCTAACAAAACAAACTAACCTCATCATCGCTCCAGCCAAAGTGTCGAACGGCCTGGGGGTGAGTTTTGGGCTTGGCCTTGTCGGGTGTAGCAAAGTCGTCAAAGTCCCAATGCGCAGAGTTCTTGGTACGGAGCTGGTTCTGCCTTGGTCGTAGTGCCTCCGGGGCCTTTGGCGTCTCCTCACCGTCACCAAACTGGAAGTGGTCGTACTTCTTTGAGTTTGTCTTGACACTCGAGGGCGCACTGGTGACCGATTCATCGTCGTCTTCATCAAACAGGCGGTTGGGCTTGTAGTTCTTTCCAGCGCCTGATTTGGCTTGGATCTTCTGTGATGGCGTAGGCGAACCACCCTCGGCGGCAGCGAACAACTCGGAGTACTCGCGTGGTGGAGGTTTGGCAGACTGCGCGCGGGGTGCTCCAGGCTGGCCTGTGTAGGATGGCTCTTCTTCAGTCTCGCGTGGCGCAAACAGCGAGAGCGACGCGTGCGGGTCATTCATGGCATTGCTTGTCGACCTCTGCGAACGCGAGGAAATGGAAACCTCATCTGCGCCGCGAGAAGCGGAAGTTGTTGGGCGCGACGAAGCCGCAGACTCGGGCTGAGAAGCAGAGGCGTTGCTGGATATCAAACGGATCTGTTCGCTGGCGTCCCGAATAGGCCAGTTGCGCGATCGCGCGCCGATGACGTCGATCTGCTTGAGGAGCGAGCCCTGGTCCCAGTACTGGCGAATCTGTGTGATCTTGCCTGCGTGATCGAAGTGGACCACGTGAACCTGTTCGTGTCAGTATTGGTGAATCGCGTGGGTAAGAGCCAATGCATACCATGGGGAACGTGGCGGTTCGGTCTGCAACAAAGTTGTCGTCTAGGCCTGGGAGATATGCGCCGCCGCCGTTGCTGAACTCAACGGTCGTCTCCACATCAACGCTCAGGGCGCGACTGCCCTCGACGGCGTCGAGGATGTTCTGCTTTGTCTTCTTCAACAGCTTCTCCTGGACCGACAGGTGCTTGATGATAGCCGTTGCATCGCTGATGCTAGTTGTGGTAGAGACGTAATGAAGAGATGCGTTCTCAGCCAGCGCGCCGGTCGAGGGCGTGGCCAGAAATCTGGCATACGTGTCGCGGAGCGTCATGACGCCTTTTTTGGTTGTTGCTGTATGCTAATTTCTGTTGTGTATGGATGATGGATGGCTGCTGGCGCAGTGGCGGCTTCTGGCGGGGCGCGATGGGGGGGGGGGGGTTTGGTGGTACAGATGTTTGTGTGTAAACAAGCAGAAGCCAGGCGCGCGCGCAACTAAGTACCTATGTATGGATTGAGACAGTGGAGATGGTGAAAGGGGAAAGCATAACAATTACGGGCAGGCCAGGACCGTACGGCCCGCAGCAGCCCCAGCAGCCCCCGGCTTCTCATCTCAGCAGTCTGTTGTTGCTGCAGGGGCACTCCCGCCGTTGCAGACACGCCCCACCTCCAACAGCCACCAAGACCAAGACGGACTGCGGAGATCCACGTGGATAACTATGTCATGCAGCTAGCTATGATGCTACAGAACTATAATCCATCTCCACTAACACTCTTCTTGCTCTTTGCCATTTGGCCTTGTTTTCTCGACTTGGGAGGGCACAATTGCCATCTGCTTACGTCTCTTCTCGGTAATGTCCACAAACGGCGTGTTTCAGATCGCTTTGATGTGCCCGTACAATCTCGGATGCCTGAGCGCTGATTTCGCTTTCCCCGCCAATGCTTTTTCTTTTAGGGGCACACAACACCTGGCCAGCACACGAGCTACTGGAGATGTTCTTCATTTATTGGGTGCGCTTGACATTGACAAGCAGGTCTCTCCTTGTCAATAGCACTATCTTGCTTCTACCCAAGCCTGTCACAGCACACCACCTAGACCAACCCAACTGTAAAGGGGTATATTTGATGCAAAACCACGTCCGCCATCAAGTAGAAGTTGGAACACTCAATTTCCCACGAACAAAGAATAGGAAAGTCGTGTTCGTCCAAGACAAACAGTGTAGCCTTTACCCCACGCTAGACCACGCTTGTACCATCTAGTCGTCCGAGCCATCCTCGGGCAGATTCCTCAGCACGTCTTCCACAATCCTAATCAGCTCGTCCACATCTGGGCGTTCACTTGGTTCCAGTCTCAAGCACTTCCTGACCACCTCCTTTACGCTGTCTGAGATGGCATCCTCGGGATTGGCCTTTTGCTTGCCCCTTTGTATACCTTCGTCTGGGAACCTCCAGTCTCCACCCAGCACACAAATACTTAAACTGCCTCCAGTCTCGTCTGATCGTGCTTCGAAAGGACTCTTGCCTACAAGACACGCGTATAATGTGCAACCTAGCGACCATATGTCCACTTTGGTATCAATGACGGAGCCAGTCTTGACATCAAACAGCTCAGGTGCGCGATAAGGCATTGTCGAGTGTTCAGCAGCAGTATCCTGGACTTGCAGAGCAAGAGAGCGCGATGTGATGGGTGTTGGTGAAGGCGCGAGGGAGCCAAGATCCATTAGGATGGGTGTCTTGCCGTCATCATCTATCATAATGTTTCCTGGTGTATCTGTTAGTCTTCGCGATTCAACCACGCATGAGACGATCCACGTACCTGGCTTAATATCCCTGTGCGCGTATGCCCTCTCTCCGCCAGGCGCAATGCCTTCGTGTGCCGCTGTGACCTCAGACTCCTCAAGCAGCCCTTCGGCTTCTTGCTCGTCATCTTCGTCGTGGTCGCGATTCCGTCTGCTTGGACGCATCTCCATACTCTCCGCGGCCTCTGCGTCGGCCCTCTTAGCGTCTCTTCTGACTTTCTTCGCTTTCCCCTCACTTGCCCCACCTCCGGGTCCTCCTTTGACCTTGTATTGATGCATCGCCTTGAGAGCTTTACAAACGCCCAGGAATAGCTCCATCAGCCTGCGTTCCGGGAACTTTGTGTGGTTGACCAGGTTCGCATTGATCATGTCTTGTAGGTTGCCGCGGCGGTAGTATGGAAGGAGGATGTAGACAGTCTTTGCAGACGGGTCTGATTTGTCGGTCTCGACGGAGTAGTCGATCGAGTGAATGATGTTCGGGTGTGGCGCAAAGAGTGAATATGCCTCAACCTCTTTCAGCGCAAGACTGACGCTTTCTTGTCCAAAAGGACATCTTATCTTCTTCAGCGCAAGCAGCTGCTGATTTGAATTGTCTTGTACCAGGTACACATATGAGAAACCACCCTGCGTCGAGATAAGTTAATTGAACCCAAGTTCAACCGCGCCCTGTAAACTTACCTCACCCAGCAACCGCAGTATCTTGAAGCTTCGACTATTGACTTTCAGTTGAGGTGAGCTTGGAAAGCAAACCATGCAGTTTGTGAAAGAATAGACAAAGTCGAGAAAGTATGTGCCTAGTGACCCCATGGTTGCAGTTGTTGCAGCTGCGATACTCTCTGTTTGCCAGCTATCAACAACTTTCGGGGCGCGATACTAGCGTAGAGACCGGACGCGCGGTCGATGGACAGGGCTTCGGTTGGACACCACACCGCGAATATTGCGAAACTATTGTAAATGCCGGTTACAGTCGTGGAAATTGCGAAGACGGTGTTGCTTGCTGAGACAAGGCGCAACGGTGCTCGGAGAAGCTGACGACGTGGTTTGTCCGAGATGCGCCAAGGGTGTGGCTGTGAACTCGTAGCTCACGTCGCGCTTCTGGAGGCTCGAAACCCCCTCCGGTCAATGCCCCACAGATTTGAGCCGCTCAATATGGCTGACATGTGAGTACCGCAGAACACACAGCTTTAAATCAATTTAGAATTAATATATTTTTGATGTAATTTGTGATCCTTCCATCTTACGTAAGATCCATCGGGCGTATAGCTCAGTGGTAGAGCGCCCGCTTTGCATCAAGCAAAGTTGCGGGAGGTCTGGATTTCGATCATCCATCCGTCCAATGTCGTGGACCAACGAGTGTTCGTTGATTTCTTTTTTTGCTCAACCTCTCCCCACTCCACATACTATCTATTGATATATTTTTGCTCAATGGGTTTAGTCTACTTGAATGTGAATGACACCTATCTTCTAATGTAGTGCTATGTTTCATATTCAGCTCGATCAATCAGAGCACTCAAATTTCAATGGGGTTCAGGGATGAAATGCATGTTCGCATCTCATAACCCAACGGATATTGAAAAAAAGCACAACTAGAGATATCGTCGTGTTGGACAAGCATATTGCTGCCAATGTTTTGGACGAGTAAGAGCTGATGCCCTTTCAGATCACATGTACGTAAGTCAGGAACCCCGCAAGATAGGAGACATGCTATTCCGCCATTGTAGCTAGTATGCTCATACTTAAGCCCACCGGATTGAAGCAACCCACCAGATCTCATATCGCTCAACGCCTACGAATAAGCACCACAGATACCAGCAAGCCAACCATCAGAAACCCAGACGCTGTACCACCATGACCACCCCTCTCGCCGGCCTCCTCAAGCTCCCTCTCGAACTCCGCCAACAAATCTACCACTACGTCCTCGTCCCAACCCTCGAAAATCGCACACTCGAAATGACCATCTATTATAAAAACTACACCTACAAACTAGAAGGCTTGGAACCAATCCAGAGCTTGATCTTCACGAACCGCCTCATCAACCACGAATCCCTCCACTACTGCTTCACGCACTTCATCTTCCACCTCGACAACAATCGCTACTCTGTTCTGGACATGATGAACCATTTCTACCTAAAGATCGGCAAACGAATGCGGATGCTGGTTCGGTATATTGTGATCCCGCGGTTCGGCGTTGACATTGTGTTTTCCAGGGGTGGGTACCAGCATAAGAGTTCTGAGAAGCTACCCAATATATACAAGGGATTGGTGACGGATATGCATTTAATGTTTAGCATGCTGAGACGCTTTAAGGCGCTGGAGGAGGTGCACTTTGGGTTGTATTTTGTCGAGGTGAGGAGGAATAAGGAGATTAATCCTGGGGTTATGCGGGTTGATAATCGTGATGGGAAGAGGGAAGAGCCTGGAACGGAGGAGATGTGGGATTCGCATATCATGGAGGTGTTTGAGAAGGCAAAAAGATGGTGGCCTACAGAGAAGATTGGGATTTGGTGGGAACAGTTACCACAAGGTGTTTCTAGTGCGGAATCACTGCGGCTTCAGGAACATGCTTTGCAGCAGTTGAGGGCAAGGGCTGCACCTGTTCAAGTTGAACTCGTAACTCCATCGCCAAGCTCGTGGACAATCCGCCATTAATAGCGAACGGATTGCAGAGATAGTATCTCTTTTTCTCCATATGTTTCGAATTTAATACTCGTCATCAATTCCAGCCTCCTTTTCAGCCTTTTTCCTCTCCTCATTCATATCCCAGAACCACCCATGCGTCACAAGATCCGCCTCGTTGTGCACATCTTTCCCATTCCACGGTTTAGGAGCCAAAATGTAATGGACATTCTTGACCTCCTCATCTCTCCAAATAGAATCATGAACGCCCTTCCAGCGTAGAGTCTTTAGTGCATTGTACACATACGGCAGTCCAACCCATCGACCGCGGAAGAGATCAGAAAGTAGTGACTGATCAGCAAAAGCGTAGTCTGCTGTTTGGGGCTTGTCCAGGGTTTTCAGGATAAGTTCGTATACTGCTTTGCTTGGATTGACGACCTGGAGACCGCCGTTCATGTACTGAAGTCCAGTGGTGCAGGGAGCTCCAGTTGTTTGCGCCTCATCCGGTTTACCGTGTTGATGTGTATAGGCGCAATTTTCAGGAACCCTGGTGCACATTTAGTAACTTCGATCTTCATAACGCCGCGTAGTACCAAAGGATTGGTGGATGTGTGTTGAGAAGATCAAAACCTACCAATCACTAGGATAATGTGCCCTCTTCAAGGGATTGCACACACATGCATGCGAAGCTGCAAAGACCCTGTTACCCTTGCCTTCAAGGGCAGGAGAATCGAGTTTGATAGTCATCAGTTCGTCCATGTTGCGCATGACAAGCATGTCACTGTCTAGCTGGACGATTCGCTCAAACTCTGTCAGGCCGAAAGGAACCATCTTGGTCCAACAGTCGTAGAACCGTGGGTCATTGCTGTAATCGTTTCCAGCAGACGGCAGGAGGTAAGGGACGTGCCGCTTGCGAATGCCGCGGCGGTCGAGTGCCTCATGAGCTTCGGTTGGTAGTTCATCCGTATACAATACGACGAGCGGGTAGAGAGATTTGGAGCGTTTCAGTGAGTAGTCAAGTGTTAGGAGACCCGTCAGATAGGCTGTATTTGTGAGGAGTGTTGTCCAGACTGTTTGTTGTAAGCATAGTGCATGATGTGTTGGTTGCTTTGTCAGGTTATGCTGTGTGGCTTACCTCGGGGTGGGTGGTCGCCCACTGGTGTGTCCACGCTAGTAGCTGAAGGTGCCATAATCTCAACGGTTGGAATGAAGCTCCGATCGGGTTTCTCAGACTGCGACGTTAGCTCACTCTTGTGATATATGCCTTACAAGAGGGGTGCCGCTGTACTTACCCAGGACTAGCATTAATATGATATCACTTGGCATCAGTTCGGGCGATGATCAGGCATACTTACCTTAGTACCAAATCGGTAAAATGGTGTGATAACCCGACGCTAGCTTGCCTCTAGAGGAGATGGGTATTCATGTAACCGGTGAATGCATGCAAAGACGACAGGGGTATCGAATTCCGAAGGATAACCCTATGATGGTGTGCGAACCATAAAAAGCAAATCCTATGAAACAAGTAGTAGAACAAAGAGGTCTTGTTCATGACATTGCACACACGAAGTACAACCAAACATTAAATTCAAACTATGAGCTCGATGAACAGCCCGTCATACATTATAAATCCAACTACGCCAAGATCGGTACGCAGGCATGTTCTCGGACTATCTATATATTGTAGCATCGTTCTGTTACTATTCGCCTGATCGGGCAAGGAATTAGACACGGGACTTTGCATTAGTCCATGCAAGCTACAATCTTTTTTTTCTTTGGCCAAATTGCAAGTTGAAGCAATCGCATACACACATGAGACGATTTCGTGTCATCAAACACACCGGAGTACGTACCGGTGCCCTTGGCAAGCTGGCATTAATGATCAACACAATGACTATATGCGTCTGCTGCAAGAAGGACAATCACGTTTTCTCAAGGCTCTTTCTTTGAAGACCCCGCACCAGTAGTTCAAACGTGAGTCGGTCCGATTCCAGAATGCCTTCGGGTGAAAAGTGCTCGACGCGTCATGGTTTAGAGGCGGGAAGATTCAGTGACTTATCTCTGTGATGTACCGAGGCTTATCCGTTCGGAAAGTTAAATCGGAGTTGACAAGAGTAGTAGCTGGCGGAGATATCACTAATGCACATAAGATCTCTGTAGTTGCCCTGATTTCACTGTGACTTGAGCTTCACATGCTTGTTTTCTCGCTCACTGCTGTCTCGACCCCTAGCTCCCAAAATCCGCGCAATTTGCTTACAAAAAGACGAAATCACAATGGCCGAGCCACATCGATGGTACGTCAAGAGATGATACCCAGCAAAAAACAACAGCAACCTCCCTACTCAATGATTTCCCAGTCCATGTCTTCACTCAAGGAATAGAAGAGTGAATGATTCATGAATCGCAAGCATAAAATTACTATAATTACATCCAACTCAACTCAATCTCTCAACGCCCAATAACACCCCAGTAATCCGGATTTTCTTCCTTTCCACCAACCACCAGGTATATAATCCTACCACACAACCTCACAACCTTCCTTAGCAGATCTACTCCTCATCATCCTCTTCCTCCTCACTATCTTCCTCCATCCCTTCCGCAGCCTCAACTTGGAATGTAGGCGCCTGATCAACACCCAGATAACTGTCACTTACAAGGTAAAGCGTCAATTCATGGCTACCCGGCTTCTCGAGCGTAAACTCGAGCACCGTCTCGAGCTTGCGTAGAATAGGTACTTTCTTAATAGCAAGCAGCGTGCGCTCCTTCTGGTCACCAAGCACAAGCCACCAGCTCTCCGTCTTATCAGCAGGGTAAAACGGAGCGTGCACTTCGGTCTTGGGCTCCTCGTCTTCTTCGAGGTTGCGCGTGACGCGGACTTTGAGTTGGGTGGGCGTATTGGAAGCGATGTTTTCGGGGTCAACGAGTTGGTGCTCGAGCTCGACGTTGGGGTAGAAGTTGTTTGTGAAGTTTGCAATGTCAGCGAGCTGGCGTTGGTCGACGTTGAGGGCGGAGATGAGTTGCTTGTAGTCTGGGTTTTCGTCTTCGTCCATGGCATTGATGAAGTCATCGACGTCGTTAATGCCGAATTTTTGCGCGGCCTTGATGGTGTCGGCGTCGAAGTGTGGAATTTGCTTGAGGGGAGAGTCCTTTTGCCACATTGCTTGGACGACCATTTGGGAGAGCTCCATGGCGGACATGGCGTTGAGATGTGCTTCCGAGGAGAGGACGTCGACACTGGCGCTGAGAATGGTAAGAACCTTTCGCAAGACAGTCTCCTGGTCCTTGGCCAGGTCAATAGGCAGCTGCATGCGCGAGAAGTGAGCTTGGAGAAGGACAAAGGCCTTGAAGTGTGGCGTCTCGAAGTTTGGCTCTTGCATCTTGAATGGAACACGGTCGTAGATGCGCTGGAGGATGTGGTCTTCGTGTCGTCGGATCTGGATATCCTCAAACTCTGTGGCAGCAGTGATGATCTCCAGGACGCCCTTCAAGCTCGTTCTACCATTCAGCGACATCATGAGTGTCTGCATCGTAATGAACGAAATGTTGTAGTACGCTGCAATCATGCATGGGTTGAGTGGTGTGATAGCATCCTCGTCCTCGTCATGCTCAATGAGGTTGGCATCCGTCAACTCCTTGAGGGTTTGCTCGACCATGTCGGACAAGTGCGCACTGAGTCCTTCATGAGAAGTGTCATGAAGGTTGTAGTAGCTAGGGTTGGCGAGTAGGCGGCGGTAGAAGTATGTGTATGTCGACCAGTCAACGGCTTCCTGTGTGGACTCGATTGTCTTTGCGCTGATTTCCGCGACAAATGCATCGTGGAGGTAGTCATGGAGGTAACTCTCAATGGGCAGCGCCTCGTTCAAGAACTTCTTGTAGTATTCGCGCTTTACCGCAGGCAGCATGAGCACACCCTTGGCTGACTTGTCCAGTCCAACTCTGCCAGCCTTGCCAAACATCTGCAGAATATCGCTGATGGGGTAGTCGACATATCTGTGTTCACGTCCCTCGTAGAACTGGGTACCTTGGACGACAACAAGATGGGCACTGCTATCAATCTCCCAGCAAGAGTCTCGCGAAACGATCATGACCTGGATAGCACCGACCTTGAACAGGTGCTGGACAGCCCGCTTGTCGAACGAGTTGAGAGCCTCATGGAAGTAACCAATACCATGAGAAAGCGAAGTTGCAAGCGCTTGCTCATTGATCTTCTCGAGGATGGGTTGGATCTCCGACAGGTCAACATTGAGGAAACGGTCTTCATCATCATCCGCAATGCACGCGTTGAAGAGGTCAGCAGCAGAGTTGCGGGCTTGCTTCCTGTTCGGAACGAAGACCATAGCTGGCTTATCGGGTGACATTTGCGTGATGGCAGAGTATGTCGGTCTCGCCATGGCCATCATCAGAGATGGGAAATGGGGAATAGTGAACGACTGGATCTTGAGCTCGAGCGGTACAGCTCGAATAGCTGGACTGAAGTTGTAGATGGTGTGCTTGTTTGCGCCTATCCACTCACCAATGTCTCGTGCATTTGATAAAGAGACGCTCAGTCCGACAATACGCAGCTTTGACTCGAGCTGAGTCGCCATAGCTTGCATACGAGAGACAACAATCTCGTACACATGACCGTTGGATCCGCCAAGCATGTGCAATTCATCAGCGATCAACAACGACACAGACTGCACGTTCTTTCGGCGCTGCCATTGACGGGAGAGGGAGTCCCACTGAGAAGGTGTAGCCAAAATGAGGTCACCCTTCTCAAGGAGTCGCAGATCTGCTGTAGTTTCGCCAGTAAGCTTGACAACATCCTTACCTCCAGAGAGACCCGACAACCGCTCATTCCAGTTCTTGTACTGATTGTTAACAAGTTCCTGGAACGGCGCTAGGTAAACGATACGGCCTTCGTCACCGGAGCCCCAGTGTCGCAAAATGGCGAATTCAGCACAGATAGTCTTTCCAATACCAGTCGAAGCACCAATGAGTGCGTTGTCGTCTGTGGTGTAGAGGGTGTTGAAAGTTTGTGTCTGAACCTTGTTGAAGCGACCGATGTTCTCATACAAGCCCATGTATTCTTTCCTCTTCAGAGCAGAGACAGGCAGTGGCTGCAAGTCCAGGACAGGCGTATGAGCAGGGAATTTCGCCGGCAGGATGAGCTTCTGGAATGAGACAGCGAGCTTGGTCTCGGAAGCCATCCATCGATCAGAGAGGACTGTGATGAAATAGTTTGGCGGCATTGGCTCGTCAATGGGTACTGTGATCTCGAGCAGATGCTCATTGACGTCGCCATCAGCATAATCACGACGGAGAATGAAGGTATCGTGGAACAGAACTTGTTCACCATCGCAGTCTTCAACCAGAATCCAAAATGCTTCAGACGTTCCGTGAAGCTCATTATCCCAAACAAAGTCTGGTCGAATGGTGAGCTCCAAACGAAGCAGTGATCTGGTCACTGGACGTGGTGTTGCTTCAATCTGGAGTCGGGGGAACTTCTCAACCAGACCACAGACGAGCCTGCCTGCCTTGGGCATACCAAGCAACTCGCCCATGCTGGGTGGATCAAGGCCAAAGTAGCTCGACCAGCTGACATCAATGCGCTCTGCTTTCTGCACAATGTCCCTGGGGCAAGTGGGGAACTGTCGCAGAGGAGTCATGGTAGGCCACATGCGCTTCTCGGCCATCTTGCACATGTCAAGAGCCAACTTGGCAACTTGCGACCAACCCTTCTTGAGACAAATTTCAAAGATTGCGCGAAGAATACGTCCAGCCGACTGTGTAACGTAGACCAAATCTGCCATGAGCGCCAAACCTTCGAGCTTGAGACGAGAGATGTAAGCCTGGAGAAGAACATTGATCTTGGCTTGAGGCTCTTCCACACCCTCCTTGACAGGGATGGGAACTTTTCCAAGCAGCTTAGCAAGCTCCAACTTCTCGTCTTGACGAACGGGAATGTACTTGAACTCCTCGCTCAGTGCAAACACTCGGAAAAGCTCAATCGCACTGATACCAGGCTGAACGTGCATGTTGTAAGTAGCCATGGAGTTATGGGTGATGTAGTAGTGGGAGGCAATTCTTCCAAGTTCGGTGGGGTTAAGAGCTCCAGTCTTCCTGTCGTACTTGATAAGACTGCACTTTTCAAGAACGTGCGCAGCTGCGTGGATAAGATCTACTCGTCTTTGCTCCAAAACCGTATCGTTCTCGTACTCGGGGCCTACCCGGTACAAAGCTGGCGACCGAAGCATTCGAACAAAGAGGTATGTGTAGCCAAGCCAGTCTACAGCTTCATCTCTGCTCCGGACGTTGCCCAGAACAATCTCGGCATTAAGGTTGTCTGCAAGTTTACTGATGAGTTGCGACTCGATAGGCAACTGCTGGTTGAGCAGTGACAGGTAGTACTGAATCTCAGACTGTGTAGTGATGATGATACCCTCTCCATATGTATCGTATTGAGGTCGACCAGCACGACCAAGCATTTGCAGAACATCTTGTGGACTCAATTCAACCCAGCTACCCTTCTCGGGAGAGTAGATCTGTGTTCCCTTGATGATGACTGTATGCGCTGGCAAGTTGACACCCCAAGCCAAGGTTGCTGTACACACCAAGACTTGGATTGAACCATCAGCAAAGAGATCTTCTACAGAGGTACGGTCCGCTCGCGACATTCCAGCGTGATGGATACCAAATCCATAGGGCATGACATCCTTGAGATCGGCGTTCTGTATCGACTCGGACTCTTCCCTTAGAATTTCACGACTAGCAGCGTCTGATCGGAGAATCTTGCCTATAGTCTCCTCTTCAAGGGCCTTGTCACGAATGTACTTGGCAGTCTTTGCAGTTTCCTTTCGCGAATGTACAAAGATAAGCATCTGGTTGCGGTGCTCGCCGACTTGTTCGAGAACTTTAGTGTAGCAGACATCGTTCATGGTCTTCAGTTGCTTGATAGCCTTCTTGTCTGTAACACCGATGAACTCTTGCTTCAGGGGACACGGCCTGAAGGTACCGTCGAAATGGAACAGTCCCTTGTCGGGATCTACACGAAGGAAACTCGCAACATCGCGGTAGTTGGGAAGAGTAGCACTCAAACCTACAATGCGTACGTGATCACCAGTCTGCTCGCTATGCCGAAGAGTTCTGCTGACAATGCTCTCAATGACTGGACCACGATCATCGTGAAGAAGATGGATTTCGTCAATACAGATGAGGCGGACGAGATTAATGTAACTTGTGTCGGTGGCCTTACGAGTAATGACGTCGTACTTCTCAGGAGTGGTGACAATGATCTGGGTCTCTGCGATTTGCTGCTTGGTAAGTTGACGGTCACCAGTAAGCTCAGAAACCTTGATACCATATGGTTCAAGACGCTTGCCAAAGTTACCGACCTGTTCCGCAACCAAAGCCTTGAGCGGAGCAATGTAGATGATCTTGAAGTCATCAAGGGCGATTTCTCCTGTCGTGGGGTTGCGGTGTTTGCCAATCTCTCGCAACATGGTCAGCATGGCAACGTTGGTCTTTCCGGAACCAGTGGGAGCACAAATCAGCATGTTGCCATCGTCATTGAAGGCGGTCGGGAAACACTTTGTCTGGATACGGTTAAGTGACTTCGAGTTACCGAAACCAGGGCGTGCCCAGTCTGGAAGTTCGGAGGTTGGCATCAGTGGTGGTTCGTTGGGGTCACGCTTCGCCTTTGGTGCAGGGACGTGAATCTCTTCATATCCCTTGAATTGACGTCTTGTTGAACCTTGAGGCAGCTTGACGCTCGCATTCGTCATGAGATGGTTACCTTGATCAAACACGATGTTGTCCAAGTTCACAAGTCGGCTTGATGGTTGTAGACCGCCAACAATGCCCTCTGGTTTGGCGTCGGCCATTTCGACGTCGTTCGACACCTCGGGAAGACTGATGTCTTTGAGGTTGAACTTCATCTTTCCTGTGCCAGCACCCTCTTCTGCCTTGATGCCCGTTTCTCGTGCGCGCAGCTCTTGCAGGATTTGTTGCTGGCCGGCAGCCTTCATCTCCCGCTCAACAGCCGTTCGCTCGTCATTATCTTCCGCGGCGCGTCGCCACCTTGTAACCCAAACGACCCTATCACGGTTGAGAACAAGTTTGGCGACCAGCTCGTGATGTTCATAATCAAAGAGATCCATGAGGTCGTTCTCAATCTCACGCAGCTCCTTCTCTTCACCGTCTTCCGAGACTCCCGCAAGAAACTTCAGCGCTTCCTGTGTCTTCTCTTGCTGTATATGCGCATCCTCGTAGATCTGTCCAATCTGCCGTTGTAACCAGTATGCGTCGATCTCGTGTGCGGGAATGAGCTGGTCTGCGCCGTTTTTGCGATCCGAAATGGCTGTGTCGCCCTGTATTATCGTCTCCTCGGTGTCCGCAAAACCTGCGTCCTTTGAATCGTCGCCTCCGATTTGTTCTATCGGCGCTTCTGCCTCATCCTCTTCATCCGAACTGTCGGCATCACGCACTTCGAAAGTCTGAGGGCCGTCTTCGTCCTCCTCTTCATCATCGAAGACGACAGCTACACCCTGGTTGTCGCCATTGTCTGCGCCATCTCCATCCGCCATCTCCTCATCGCCTCCTTCCTCGTCATCTTGCGCGTCGTAATCCGTAATCTTCTTGCCAAGGTTCACAAGCTCGTTGAACTCCTTTGCGCCCATAGAAGTACCCAAGAGATCGTCCACCTCCTTCTTCTTGTCAAAGTCCTTCATAGAGTCATCCTTGAGGTATTCCAGAACTTGATCGGCCGCACTTCGCGTGGTCGCAGGATCGACATCGCCGAGAGCTCGGCTCACAATGGTCGTAATGAGTTCGAAAGTTTGGCGAGTAGCAGGTGTCCGTGGCTTGTATGTAAGGCCTTCGATGTTCAGGTCGGCGGTAGCAATAGCTCCAAAAGTGCTTGTGCCATCGTCCCGTTTCCTCTTGCGTTGCTCTCTCTCCAGGACATCGCCACCCTCCCCGAGATTGCCTCGCTCAACACCAGGCCCCTTGAGCTTCTTAGTTTGCGCACTTGCACTGTCACGCGCAGTACGCGCGCCCATGTCGCGGATGTTGATGCGGCCTGCGAGCGACTCGGGGTCACCAGTGTGCTCGTCCGGTCGGCGGGACGTAAATCGTCTGTCGGCCTGCAGGACCAAATTCGACATGGCCGCATATTTGAACTGCGCGAGGTTGTTTTGATCTTTCGACATGGTGGTGGTGGGTATCGTGGTATTGCGCGGCTTGCGCTTTTGGTATCGTCTTCTCGAGCTGTCTACACGCGAGATATAATAAAATACACGACGAAAGAACGAGTCGCCGTCCTGTCAAGATCAAACGAAAGAAAAGAGTTGTCCGATTGAGTGTGGTCGGGCTGTGGACACGCCCTGGTGGTGGATGTAAATGAGCGGCGGCGGAATCTCGAAAAGTTCAATGATGGAGCTTCCAAAGGCTGCAGCAAGAGCACGTGATACCGCATCACCTCCGATATCACCAATGAACCCATGGTTCTTGGATGTCACACGCCCACGTTTTCTAGACAGACCATATATTTGCCCTTTTTGCATGCTTTTGAGCGTTGAGATAATCTGTCTGCCTAAGTTGTCATTTTTCTTACACAATAGTGCTATCATTGACTCGATGATTACTGCATCTACAGTTTGGTTTGTCCCGGCTCATGAGACCCATGCCTTCCATATTCTGTATCTCCAATTTCTCAGCAACCAGCTTCAATACACATGCTGAAATGTACATTTCGTACGCCTTTCAAGTTTCGCATCTTCTTGTCTCTCCAAACCCGCACTTTGTACCCAAAATATTCAAGCTCCCTCGGCCTTCTTCTTCTTCTTATCCTCGACCAACTCCACATTGTCCTCCGGCACCTCATCATACTTGTCTACCAAAAACTCAAGTATATCCTCGCTCAAATCTCCCTGTACCGTGATTTCCTCGCCGCCACCGGGAATCTTGGTCACACTTGATCCGGTCGCGAATTTCTTGCCAAAGTCCTTAGCCACCTTCTTGATGTCGAGACCGAATGCTTCGAGTCCTTGTACAGCAGTCACGTATTTTCGCTTGTTACGCTCGATACGCTTGATGAGGATCTTGGAGGATGCGCGTGTCTCGGCTGCTCGTGCTTCAGCGGTCGCGGCTTTGGCGGCTTTCTTCTGTGCATCCTTTTCCGCGCGTTTTTGGGCGTCGACAGAGAGCGAGGCCATATTCTGCTGTAATGCCTCTATGAAAAGTGTTAGAAAAATTTCTCATGCTATATTTCATTGCGCCAGCTAAGCGCGTTCCAGAAGTTAAGCAGTACATACCTGCCGAATACAACTTGGCGTGAAGGTCTGGGTGCGCTTCCGCAAGCCATTCTTCACACTTCTTTGTTGTGCCGCCAAACTCGCAGTACTAAATCGGGTTCAGATTACTATTAAGTTCGGTATCGACGCGTCTCAGTGTCATACCTACTTCAGGTGGTAGACTGCATACTGCTTCTCGTTAGTAGATGATTAGAGAAGCTACCCGCAGCAATATCTACATACCTCCGCAGTAGATGACCTGTTTTGGTACTGTATCGTCAGACATGGTGAATGTGCCAACAGATAAACTGCCGGTTATTTTATGCGCTGACAATGTATCTGGTTGGGTGCAGAGAGTTTCGGGGTTGACGCGAAGGAGAGAGCTTGGTGGGGCAGAGCAAGCGTGGCGGGGTACGTATGAGAAGTTGGGCAAGGGTCCTTGGACGTGCTTGACGCTTTCACTCAAAGCTTAGTGTACTATGATGTGTATCTCTTTATTAAAATTATGACCCTATATCTACATATACATTGGCGGACTCATACTGTTCTCCAGAATATAGGTCTTTGGCTCCATCCGTAACATGGGCCAGTAACCCCTGAACAAACTATTTCTCAATAGCCCTTCCAATCGATCCCATTCTACTGCAACTTTTGTAGTCCAGTCATCTGACACATCAACAATTGGTCCACTCCCCTCGTACAGAGGTCTAAATTTATCTTTGCTCTCCTCACCTGGCTTCAGAAGCCTGACCCCACCGAAGCCGTACACCACATGTACAATATTCCACATTCCAATTATCCTCTCCGGCTTCTCGGTAAGAACGTAATCAAATTTTGTCCAGAACATCGGATCCAAAAGTGCGCTCGGGTCCTCAGTCTTGTCATAAGACCATTTCCGGGTTGGTGCCATTTGCTCTTCAAGAACATCGAGTACTGTCTGTGGGCCCCTGTGGCTCTCCAGGAAACGCGTGACACCTGTCTGACACGCAAGGTTGTCAAAGTGTACATTGAAGTGCTTATCGTGCGGATGAGACATTCGTTTGTGTAAATCGTGCAGAGCTTCTCCTCCAGGGTAGTTGAGACTAGAAATACCCAAGATAGCTGTGGATGCAGCGAATGACACCAAGACTGATCCTACAAGAGCCAAGCTGAGGACAGCATATATGATAGACTTGGATCGTCGTGTCCAAATCCAGGAGGCTCCGTCCGCAGCTACTGCTGTCAATCCTGGGATTACATAGAGAATGAAACGCCATTCTTTGTGAGGAAGAAAGCTGTATATAGCCACAAAGCTGAGTAGAGGGATAAGTAGATCAAGGCTTCGTCTTTGGCTTGCTGGATTCGAAACAGCAATCGGTATGCAGACCAGGTAGGTTATAGGGTTTAGCATTAGTCGCGGAAGTGCATTTGCAAAGTAGAAATACCATGGCGAGACACCCCAGTTCGCCGAGTTTCCTTGAATGGTGTTGTAGTAGAAACCCGTCCACTCAGGCCATAGGGGAAATGATTGCCAGAAGAAAGAATCTAAAGGTACTGTGCAGATAAGACCGACGATGAGGCCTCCAATGCCGGCTGGAATGATGACGCTGATGATCGATATCTTGCGTGTGAAAAACAGATACACAGTGATAGTGGCGACCAGGATAGCTAGCTCAGATCGGAAGACAACTCCAGCAATAGTGAGCAGATACAAGCTCAGTCGGTAGTGTCCCGGGACATTCGAAGAAGTAATGGGAGAATTGTACGCAAGAACTAGACTTCGCAATGCCATATTGCCTGTAGCCATAAGCCAACAACCACTTCAACAAGCAAACCGCAAACTTACTAAACACGAACGCAAACATATTCGGCAGCGTCCTCGAAGCATAATACATAGCATGAAACTGACTTGCCTGAAACAACGCATACCAAACCCCCGCCGCAGTCCCAAAAGCCCTCTGCACACTCCTCCCAAACGCAACCAGCGCCGCCGCATTCAGCAGTCCCAGCACCGCCCTAACTACCACACCTTACCGTCAGCCCTTTCCCCCTTTTACAACCCCCACATGAAAGATTTTTGAAAAGTAAAAAACTCACCAAGCATCTGCACATACTCCCAATCCTCGAAAACCCCCACAAACGGCCTGCTCAACCCGCTCAGCACCGCCGCACCCGCAAACGTTCTCGGCACGCTCCCCGGAAAGGAAACATGGTCGTAATTCGCAGTTAGGAACTGGTCTACATTCTCCGTCGGGATGCCGTGTACGAGGATATCATGGACAGCTTGGATATTGAACGACTCTTCGACTTTTGTATACGGCGATACATAAAGATGTATCAGTATTACTGCTGGGATGAGCAAGAAAAAAGGCCACGTTGATGCCATTGCATCCGGGTTTGCGCAATAGCGCAGCTTCAAAGATTAGCCCTTTTTTCGGGATCCAGGGTACACAGATAGAAGGCGGTGAGATGCTGTGTATTTGATGGGGGGGCGGTCAAGTAGTTTTTCGTTGGGGCAAAGATGAAGCAAGTCCAACTTCGTTCTCTTTTGGAGAGGGCAAGCTACCAATCACGTGCTTTCGCGATCCCACCACCCTTGTTACACGAAACCCTCCCCTTCTAAGCGTGACTTTGTCAAACAACAACTCCCTATCCGCCCATTTCCGACCTTTAATTTCCATTTTTCCATCCTAGGTTTCCCCCCCCCCATCGGATGGTGTCACTACGATGGAAATTTCTCAACTCGCGGTGCCCGCGGTCTATGCGTTGATATTGTTCCTTGGGTGCCCCTCGCAGTTGCTGCTGATGCGGCTCGATCCCGCGCCATTGAGCAAGAATGAGATCATTGCGGCGAATACTCTTTTAGTACTAATACTTATTACATATACGCAGAGCGTGTTTGTGGATCCCGGGACGATACCGAAGGATTGGAATGTTGGGGGTGCGATGAAGGCGGAGGGTAAGGAGGGAATGGGGAACGAGGCGGAAGATATGGTGGGGAAGAGTAGGAAGTGGTGTTTTCGGTGTGAAGCTGCGAAGCCGCCGAGGGCCCATCATTGTAAGGAGTGTAAGAGGTAGGTCGGATTTTTCGTATGTTCATGTTTGTTCTGAGAAAGATATCAAGGCAAGGGCGTAATAGCTATTCTGCCTCTGAATCACCAAGTCATGGAAGGATCGATCAAGATATGATGAACTTTTGGAGTAACAAGGAAGCTATCTGACACACGTCATATCAACCCCACCAAAAGCACAGCTAACCACCTCCCCAGATGCATACCCAAAATGGACCACCACTGCCCCTGGACAAACAACTGCGTCAGCCACACCACCTTTCCCCACTTCATCCGCTTCCTCTTCTACTCCACCGCCGGGCTTGCCCTCCTCGAATCCTTCATCCTAACCCGCGTCGCCTATCTCTGGTCCAACCTCGATATGCCCTCGTCAATGGGCCCAACCCCCTTCCAGCTCGCCCACCTCTTTACCATCTTCATCGTAAACAGCCTCACTCTCTTCATCCTGGGCGTCCTCTTCCTCCGCAACATCTGGTGCCTAGCCGTCAACACCACCACCATCGAAGGCTGGGAGATTGAACGCCACAGGACGCTGCTGCGCCGCGCCCGCCAGTACGGAGGCTACCTCCCCTCGCCCGACGGCACGCAGCAGATTCGCATCCGCAAGCAGGAGTTCCCCTACGACATTGGCATCTGGGCGAACATCGTGCAGGGCATGAATTCTGCGAATCCAATTTCCTGGTTCAATCCGTTCGGGGCAACACCGAGTCTGACCAGTGGCCTAGCGTTTGAGACGAATGGCTTCGAGGACCCGGGTACGGTGTGGCCGCCGCCAGACCCGGATCGCGCGTATAGGAGGAATGCCAAGGCGGTGAATGCGGGTGCATTTCAGTTTGCAGAGGCGCCGGAGATGAGTGCGGAGGAGACGGTCAGGGCTTTCAAAGCGAGGCAGGCGGAGGATGCGTTGAGGAGGAGGGGGTATGGGGAAAGGATGCAGCAGAGGGTAGTGGAGGATGAAGCAGAATACGGCAATAGTCGTGACGACGATGATGGGGGGTACACATATGGAGATGATGCTAGTGATGATGCTGAGGGAGAAGAGGAAGAGTCTGAGAAGAAGCGCGGCGAAAAGGGACGGGAGGGAGAGGCTGCATGGCGAAATGCCGAGGGTGAACGACTAAAGGACTTTGGCGTGGATGAGGACGTGGAGTTTTACGATGAGCAAGACGACGACATACCGTTAAGTCAGTTGATAGCTCGAAGGCAAGGTGCATCGACATCAGGATATAGCCGTCCGTAGGTCGTCGTACCACAATGATAACACAATCAACACTCAAGTGGCTACAGCATTGGCGAAGCGGTTTTTAATATGTTTGATTCCCAGTCGCATAACGAATGTCGGTCGGCCCGTGTGAGCAAAAGATAAAATCTAGACCAATAGTAATCCAGCGTGCAAGAAGACAAAAGGTATCCGAATCGTCCACATGTGTCCTTCTCTGTCCATCCTATCCGTATAGAGTCCTGGGACAAGACCTCAAGATGACATCTTGTCGACACAACAAGTATTCTGTTCCCGTACATTATAACCCCGCAACAGATGCTCCGGCAGTATGAACAATCTGATTCCAAAAAACATGTTCCCAATACCATCTCTTCATGAATTCTTGGCAAGTAACTTGTTCGTAAGTTGCTTGCTTTCTGGTGATCTAGCAGCCTTTCCCACGTCTTTCCTGGACGATGGCTTTCTCTTCTTCCATATTTTGCACTGCGATCACCAGAGCTCGGCGCAACTAGTACTCCGTTCCGTTTCCGTTGTGGACAGGATAGCCAAAGGCAGTCGAGTCGTCGCCCATTTCGGAATCGCCGCTCAGTACATGCTGTTGGTTCTCTGACCCGCCTGCGTTGGGCCCGCCGGACCCGGCTGCAAACTGCCCAGTGGGTGGCTTGTTCTGATTTGCGAGGAGGGTCTCGTACCACCAATCAATACCAATAGTTCAGATAAACGTTTTCGCCAAACAATAGGCAACAAAAGAAGAGTGAGAGGGGGAGAAGGAGAAAGGGGCAGCTTACTTCGCGATACCTGGAAAGGTAGATTTTGAGAGCTTCGGAGTAGTTTTCGAAGCCAAGGGAGGTCATGGCGAAGAGAATATCCTCTCCATTGACTGTCTTGCGCTTCTCCTGCTGACACTTTTCGGAGGCTGCAAACATGATTAGCGACTAGTTCTTGAAGGGTCAGAGTTGGAAACAAATAGACTTACCCTCGCTTGTGATGAAGGAAATGAACTCGCTGACGCATTCCTGCATGCATTCCTTTGCCTCCTTTGCAATTTTGGCGTTTTCGGGAAGAGCCATCTTCATGATACGGGCGACTGGAGCAAAGTTACGAATGTTAGCATCTGAAGCGGCACTTTGGGTTGTGTTTGCATTCTTTGGCGTTGCTTGTGGCGGGGACGTCGACGAGGGTGGAGAAGACGACGACATGGCGCAGGCTGCACGTCGGCCAAATTCCAGGCACAGCGCGCAGCTGAGTGGCTGGAGCAAAGTGCGGATTTAGGCGATTCGACGCAGGCACGCGCGAATGGAGAGAGTCTGGGGACATGCAGAGAGCGATTGCGCGCGTTTGAGCAATCCGTCGACGTGCAGACCAGAGAAGTGACGGGCGCGCAAACATGGCCGACGGCGGGGAGGGGAAAAGGGCATTGGGGAAATGGACGTACCATTGGCGATAGGAAGCCATCGGTCTTGTTCCTTAACTTCGAACTCGTAACCTATCTGGGCTGTGTTCTCTTCTGTGTTCCGGTCCATGGGCTGTTCTTCGTCAGGCGACTGGACTGGTTCCACGCCCTCCTGCTTTGGGGGAGAGGCCGACATATTAGCGGTTGCGCGGTCGGCAAGCGTATGCGCTGGCGACTATTTCGTTGGCGACCACGTCACTGGGAGAGACGATGGGGCGAGTTGGCGGCCGAGTATGCAGGCTGGGGGGTCACTGGTGTAACGAGGGTGGTGAGCAAGGGAAACGGTTAGTGGCATGCAGCAGGTGCAGGCGGAGATAGCTTGGAGCTTGGAGGCTGGGAAGCTGCCGCTGCTGCTGCTGACGACGTACTACGACGGTGGCGGCGACCGAGTGGAGAGGCTCGACGGCACGCGAACTGCTGGGAGTCAGTCAGTTGGTCGGTCATCAGTCAGCCATCAACAACAACCAGACGAGGAAGGCGCGACGGGCCATGGGCGACGGGCGAGGCAGGTGCGACCCAGACGGGCTTGGTCGCTCCTTCTCTTTCTGGATGTCTCTTTCTCTCTTTCTTTCTCTCACATGGACACGCACGCAGACAGACAGACACAGGCTGACTTACACGTAAACCGAGGGGCGAGCAGAGAGATGGCGGAGTCGTGTGTATGCCTTGCGGCGGCGGCCTGATAGTCGGTGCGACGATGGCGGTCCGCCGTGGCGATGGATTAGCGGTGGGACGGGATGCAAGAAGTCGCTGGGGGAGAAGGTCCAGTTGGAGCAAAGGGCCGTGATTCGGGTCGAGTCAATGGATTCCGGGAGCTGTACGCCTTTGTCGCGAATGGAAGTGAGAAGCAGCTGGGGACGCGCCTGCCAATAGGAGCGCGAGGAGATGATATGGGGTGCGAAGCTCAGGACGCCCGAAGATGGGGGGGGGCGCGGCCAAGCTTGGACGTTGGCCGGAGTAGCGCGCGGAGAGACGGTGCATTGACTGCCATTGCTATGTCATGTTACTGCTGCGACTGCTGCTACTACTACCACTACCACTCCCGCCATCAATGCGCCTGCGCCCACCATGCTCGGCCCGCCCCGAGCCATTCTCTCCTCTCCATGGCTCTTCTCCAACTGCCTCTGCCTCACCCGGCTTCATCCCGACCCGTCTCGGTCCAGTCCACGGCCACGGGCTACTGCCGGCAAACCTCGCCATCACCATCGCCATGCCGTCCTCCGGCCTGTCGTCAGAAGCACAGCTGCAACACCCAGGCGCTAGTCGGCGATCCTCTATGCAAGCCATGCCACCACCTTTTATTCGACAGCCCTACGCTATCCCACGTTGCAAGTCCCTCTTTTTCCCCATTTGAGATGCTCAGACTCCACTTTGCTCTTCTCTCTCTACCCGAATGCAAACATGCTCTTGTCACTAGAGCAGCAATTAGACGAGTATCCTCTCCCACGCACTTACATACACCACCACGCCAAGTCTACTCCACTCCTAGTATTGCTTTTCCCATCATCACACCTTATCCTCAGCACAATCCCAGCCACATGCAGACGGCAATCCCTCAATCTCTCTTGTTGGGCTCGGTTGCATGTAAGTACAGCCTTGCTATCAGCTTCACTATTACCCACCGCTAGATGACGTCCCCTCCCTAGCCGCAAACGGCTTCTGAACCTCACCGTTCGCCTTCTCCTTGCAGCCAGCTTTGCCGGTACCCTATGAGCTACGTGTCCACGGTCATGGTACCATGGTCGTAGATCGGTGCGTCAGCTCGACTGAAAGCCAACTCGACAGCTCATCGTGCAGAAGGCCCGCCTAGAGTGGGGAGCACGTGCTGGTCGGCTGCAAACTCGGCCTCCAAGCCCACGCTCCCTCTTTCTTCGGCACTTTTTCATTCGTCAAATCATGCCTACATACATACAACCAGTGGGTAGTCCATGTGGTATGTGGGGGCACACACGACTATCGATGTCGTCGACCATTGCACTGCCTAGCCATGCTGTGCCTGGCTCCCCCCGTCACATTTCAAGTTTTACACACACACACACACATCGTTGCCAAAGCTATAGTACGGGGGTTATATACATATACCCTCCTTCATGGGTGCTTCTTGAATTGCTGTGGGGAAAGCTATGCTGTCATATCGTGACATGCTGTACTAACATCTCATCATTGAGTCACTCCTTACACACTACGGCCTTGCTCTCCGAACCGGAACACTTTTCATTCTTCCGTCATGGCCTGTCTGCATCTGTTCTGACTCTGGTGGCCGAGATTCTGCCGCCTTGATGCTGGTAGTATCCCATGTGGAACCAAGCATACGTCGTGTACCCTCCCTGTCAAAGGGGTGCCGCATGATCCGGACACCAGTCTACTGTCCAGGCTGCTGAACAACCTGAATGTTGTTCTTCTTCTGTAGTGGCAAAGTCAGCTGTCCGTTCCCAACTCCAGATCATAGTCTCAGTCGTCATATGTAACTCTCTTTCTCACACAACAGACACACGTACCTTCCATTTTTCCATCTCATCCTGCTTCGACTTGTACTGCTTGACTAGCTCTTCTAGCGCCTTCTTCAGGCCCTCCGAGTTAGTCTGCAGAATAGGCACCACCTCCTTGACCGTCCGCTCAGTTAAGACGCCGTTGATCATGCGGAAGCATTTCCGGTCTCCCGAAAGCGGCTGCAGCGTCTCGAGTACGAGTCTAGTATACATCAGTTAATGATTCTCATTGACTCCATGACACAACTCAGGCATCCTGCTCCTTTCTGTAAAGAATAGACAATCTCCTCAAAGGAGGGGGTGTTGGAGTCGCCGAGCCACCGAACAAGCGGTGTGATTGAGAAGGGGCAGGTGACTGAAGTTTGAGCACGCTATGCAAATCATGGAAAACTTACTTGTGCTCTTCGGATTCTTGCTCAATATCCCCGATTTTGGAGGCAATGGTTTGTAGCGTGTTTTTGTAATTCTGGTACGTTGTTTGGAGCTCTGTCTTCGTGTTAGCTTACCTGAAATTACTTTTCGAAAATAGAGATTGTGAGGTATACCTTGTTGCTTCTTCAGCTGTGCTTGAGACGCCATGGCGAACTTGGGGTGGCGGGTGAGAGACGCCCACTCTGGGTTGCGGGGAACTCGGGAGAAAGAATGAGAGAAAAAAGATCGTGCAATGGCCAATGCAGTGCACTCACAGCCACGCAGATAAAATTCTATTCACAGACGAATACGCTAAATTTGCGTATGGCTAATCTGTCCGCGAGAATTAAGCAAGCGTTGTTGATCGAAACCGACGTTGCGAGCGCAAGGCCGAAGAAAGACGCGCTCGGACGTACGGTGTTAACGTTAGGGTAACTACTACGCTGAGATCTCGTGCGATTCGTCCAAGAAACCAGAGATCGGATTGGCTCTACTACCCCTACGCTCTGGACCACAGCTACCCACCACGAACCTCTTCTCACTTGCATACGACAGCAACAACGAAACACACCCTTTTTCGCACCCCTACATATCGAGCCTAACAATGCACCCCCACCTCCACACCGAAGAAGTCCAAAAAAGTAAACCTCCCCTCCACCTCCCCAGCACATTACCCCAAGCTAACACCAACCCAACTCAGACTGCGCCGACGTCGTCGCCGCCCTCGAAGAATGCCACGCCCACGGCTTCCTCTGGAAAGTAACCGGCAACTGCACCGACGCCAAGCACAAGGTCAACATGTGTCTGCGCGGCATCCGGCTTGAGCGCACGCGCCAGAATCGCGAGGCGGCGAAAGAAAAGAGGGAGAGGATTCAGAAGGTGTGGAGGGAGTTGGATGAGAATAAATAGTTGCGAGCGTAGCTCGCACGCAGAAAAGGAAGGCGAAGGGGGGGGGGATGTAAGAATACAGGATGAGGAAAAGGACATTGGATGGAGTTCTTGTAAATATGGGATGGGAATTAGGCGTCACGGAGCACGGCACATGGAAGGGGGGAGAGAAATAAATGTACGATTACACATAACCTAAAAGGTCCCTCTTTTGTTCAATTCAAGAAAGAAAAAAAAAGAAACACGCTACTCAATCCGAATCCTCGCTCGATCGGTTCGCCAGCGGCGTGCCACCCAACGGTGTACCACCCAGCGGCGTAGTCCCCAGACTATCCAGGCCTCGTTCTGTAATCAACCTAGCACCACCACCTCCCTCCAAAGTATTAGTGGGCAAAGCCGGTAGACCGGATTCCTGGCGTAGTTTTTCGTATTCCTCGCCCGTCTTCTGGAGTTGTTCCTGGAGATACTTTTTGCGCTCTTCAATCCTTACTTTATCGTCTTTGAGATCTTGCATTTTCTGGAGAAGCAGTGCTTTTCTTTGCTTTCGGGCTTCCATGTCGATGGTGAGGCCCTGGAGGATGTCGTTGAGATCTGGGAGAGGCGTGATGCGAGGAGGCGTTCTGGTGCCGTCGTCGTCTTCGTCTACTTTTTGGCCGTAGCGACCTGCGCGAGCTTGGGCTGTAGCGAATGCGACGTTGCGGTCTTCGTCGGAGTCGTCGGAGCCATCGTCTCCTGAGGAGCCCTCTGCGTCGTTGATGAGTTCGGCCATTTCGGCACGCCGTCGTCGCTGGGCTTCCTTTTCGGACTTGCGACCGAGGGCTATTTTGCCGTCTTCTACGTAGTCGTCGAAGCCTTCGGCAATGTCTTCGTCGTCGTGGACTAGGCGGGTTTCTCCCCATTTGTCCTTGGGTCGAAGGGAAATCTTATCTCTGTGTTGTCTGAACTCGTCCTCCCCTTGGTCGTCGGATGCCCAGGCTGCATCTTCGTCGTCATACGCATTTTCCTCGTGTGCTAAGCGCCGCCTCCGCGCCTTCTTTTCCCGTATCTCTGCTTCGGTAGGAATCGCAGATGACGTCGTCTCGAGTGACGCGACAGGCCCAAACTTGGCCGCAATATCCAGCGCGCGAATCTCCTCTTCTTCCTCAGCGGATATCTTGAGGTCCCTGGGCGTTGACGGTGTCGAATTTCGTAGTTCAGCAATATAATCCTTGCTGTATTCGGTCGGCTTCGCAGATTCCGATACGAGTGGTGAGCGGGCCCGAAGTTGTGCACTCTTCTCCAGTGCTATGCGACTGAGGTTCGCCTTCTTCGGAGTCATAACCGCTGAATCGCTTGATTCTTCGCCATTGTTCGCTTCGTCGCCAGCACCAAACGACATTCGTAGAGAAGAGCGCTTCTTTGCTTTACCAAGCGCAGGCCGCTTGACGACTACAAGGCTTAGTTAGCACAGAGCCTTTGCCAGCTTTTTCACATGGGCCTGGAAAGGTTCGCTGCAAGTTTCCCCAACGTCAGAAAGGCTGGTAATCGCGAAGAATGTACGACTAACCTGTAGGCTTCTGTACTTCACTCTGCGAGCTATTGGTGCTGTCGGCGGACTCGTCGTCATCGTAGCTGCCGATTTTGCGCGCTACACGCGTAGAACTAGATCTTTTCATGTTTGGTGGTTTCTTGTTATTTCCCAATGCTCTTAAAATCAGATCAAGTCCGTGGAGGATTTGTAGAGGAAGACTAGTGGTCGCGCTCACATGTCGGTGGTGGTGCCTGTGCACGGGCCCTCCGCAAAAAGCCCCAGAGCTCTCCCACCATGTGCAGTAGTTGCTCTTGCTCGTCGAACACCACGCGCGACCCAGCTTACCCACGACCGACACAAGCGTAGTCACCTAAACGCCCACTCACCGCCTACACAACAAACAGACCCCATCGCTATACCACCGCTTCCAATATGCCTCAAGCACAGCCCGAGTTGAAGAAGGTAAACTACGAATTGCTCTCCAGAATCTACTCTTACTAACCTGGCCAAAGTACCTGGAGAAGCGCGTCCTCGTGCAGTTGAACGGCAGTCGCAAAGTCATGGGAATCCTCCGTGGATACGACGTAAGTCCAATCCAGCATTCCCCAATCTCACCAAATAAAGCTCACACCGTGCAGGTCTACCTAAACATTGTCCTCGACGAAGCGCTTGAAGAAAAGGCAGGCGGTGAGAAAGTGCGCATCGGCATGGTCGTCATTCGCGGAAACGCCGTAGTCATGCTTGAGGTACGAATTCCCCTGTATCCATGAGAAATACGGTGGATCATAAGCTAACTAACCTGCTCTAGGCTCTCGACCGTATCAACCAGGACGTCCCTAAGATCGGACGGTAAAGAGCGTGTATACGACCCGCCACGAGGAAGCAAAGTCAGTGATATATTGGACCAAGCGTCAGAGCGGAAAGCGACATGGCACAGAGTATGGGAAGATTATTAAACGGCGCATCTGGCGTTTGAGGCGCGAAAAGAAACTATTGGGCATGCCTTTACCAGGCTCCCTCCACCTCCCTTTTCTTTTTCATCGCCTGCATCTCCCTTGTCCCGAGCAGTTTACTATTTACAGAGGACAGTGTTTTATTGTTCTTCTTGCACGATATCTGTGTTGACAGACTGGATTATTTACGCGATATAGTACCCTCAATATGATGACAACCGAGGGAACACTAATTGAGCATTTGAGGGGAGCGCAAGTAGGATCCGAGTCATACGGTTGATAGAGAAAGAAATAAAATCAGTGCCATGGGCTTCAGACAATCTGCATTGCCAACATCGAAATCAAAGAAAGCAACAACTTCTCCACTAGGTACTCAAAACATGGCTTCTTTTCATTGCATTTTAAAATTGATCTACAGACAACCGGACACAAACACCCCCCAAAAGAACCCACGCCTACAACTTAGCCTTTTCATTCTCCCTCTTAACCTGCTGCACCAACTCCCACGCAATCTCAGCATACGGCCTCATCATCTGCCCATACTCCTGCGCCTGCGCACTACTCGCCTGCCTCAACGCATACCTCGCTGCAATACCTTGCATGATAATCGCAAGCCGATACGTACTAAACGCATTCCCCCAGGTGAAATCCGGGCGCGGATCCCACCCCGCTACCTCGGAGTACCACGTGATAAGCTGCTCGCGGGTGGGCAAGCCGGGTGTAGCACCTGGTTGAAAGCCCTGGTGCGCACGCCCGATCGACATTGCCGTCTGGCTGGACGCCGTGATGTACGGGGACATGACGTTGTTGAGGTCAGACAGCGGGTGGCCGATTGTACTCATTTCCCAGTCTAGGATGCCGATGACGCGGGGTTCGGTTTTGTGGAAGATGACGTTATCGATTTTGTAGTCGCCGTGGACGAAGGTTGCGCGGTCCTTTGGTTGGGTGCGGTGGTCGCTGAAGAAGGTGACCATGTCGTCTTGATGCGGGATTTTGCCGACGGGTTCGCCGGTTTCTTTGTCTTTGGCTGAGGCTTGGGATTGCGAGATTGTGTTGAAGGTTGCGATTTGGCGGGTATAGAAGCCCGAGTGTTTGCCGTAGGAGGCGAGGTTTACGGAGGAGGGGGATACGCGGTGGAATTTTGCGAGGGTGGTGATTGCGGAGTGCCACCTACAGGCAGGTTAGTTAATGTTTCGGAGTTTGGAAGGAGTGTCTGGGTGTGTTCAGAGCATACATTTTTGTTCGGTCCTCTGGGGTTACGTCAGGAAGGACGGGGTCTTCGAAGATGCGGCCGTCGAGAAACTCCATGATGTAGAAGTCGGTGCCGATGACCTTTTCGTCTTGACAGAGACATAGTGCTCGTGGAACAGGGACATCTGTGTTCTCCAGTGCATGGATGATGCGGTATTCACGATCGACTTTGTGTGCAGTCTGCGAGCAAGCAATTAGATTAACTTTCTTTTTCTCGGTGTTGGAAAGAGGACTGATATGTAGAAGTGTATGTACCTTTGACAGCAGCTGGCCCGGAGGCTTCTTCCTCAGCACGTACTTCTTTCCGGTCTTATCCGTCAACTGGTATGTCGGATTCGATTGTCCATAGCCAAACTAGCTTCTATATTAGCAAATCGTGTTCCTTGGGTCAAGCTTGATTCCCGCTCGACTACACACGCACCTGCTTTACGTCCAAGGGAACCTTGATTTCAGGAACATGAGCCTCGATGTAGCGCTCCAAGGAGGCTACATCAATGGGCTGCCGAACATTGCCAGCCATGGTGGGTGCGTCTGGAGAGAGCGCATGGCAAGCGCGGGCGCACAGTGATGTAGCTGGCGCGGTTGAGCATCACCGAGCCATGAGCCTCGGCAATTGTTGGACATGGGGGGATCTGGCTCGGCGAGTCGGGAGTGGCTGCATCTCCGCAACGAGCTCAATCGGGATGAGCATGAGTATCGGAAAAAAGACTCGTTCAATACAGTTCAACATGAAAAAGGAGTTATGTTTCCTTGCGAATTGGGTCAATGATATCCGTGACTGATTCCAAAAGCCTTTTTTTCGTTGTGGTGGTTGTCATGCCACTATCCATATTCCTTGCCTCAATCTGAAACGGATGCTCGTAATAGCACGCACTCTAATAAGTGAAAGCAGATACAGTGTATCCATCTACTTGATAGCATGATGGAGTATTTCCAGCGAGATTGTCTGCATCCAGGCAGGTAGCCAGGGGAACTTGTGGAAGTGCTTGTCTGGGCGATATGGCCTCACGTGCCCACGCGTTTGCGCATGTTCGGCACGCAAGGGCCAGCTCGCGGGTCTGTGGGCAAAGGCACGGCTCCCACTTCAACGTACGGTCCACGGCTCATCAGACGTTTTCCTTCTCCTTGGACAAGGCCAATGTGCTGATCGTGTCCACGTAGATGGAAATGTATATCCTCACACCTATCCTCTACCACCCCCTGTAAAGACGGGTCAGCTTTTGATTGCAGACTTGTCGTGTCAAAACCCCTGAGGTGTCACAATTGACAACTGTCAACCCTCTCTGTGTGTTGAGCCGGCTAGCATGCATCAGAGAGGGCCTGTCTGCCATGCTAAGGGCAACCGCAGACTGGTGCTGTAGACTTTATTGGATCCATTCTGGTACCAAGGACCGACGGTTGGTGATGGCCGGCCCTATCACACACTAGGCCTGGGTGACGTGATGCGGCCTTGTTGAGCGTAGTAGGCCTTGCAAAGACATTTCCCCAAGGCGTCAAGCCGCAGAGTTTATAGGCGTCCACATCCAGGGGAACGCGGGACGGGGCGCATAAAGAACAATTAGGAGCGCCATGTCGCCCAAATGGGATGATCGCAATTCATTGGGCAGCTGTCGGTTAAATAATCACGCTCTACCGTCGCCCATGACTTGGCTGTCCAGACCCCTGTAGTCCCCTCTTATCAAAACAAACACCGTCCTTGGTCTGTCCAACCTACCCTACACTAAGGAACAGGTCTACCCTGCGACAAACAACGCCCTGGCATGGCCTATCCCCAGACTCCCCGCCGCCTTGGGGCGCGACCTATGCTACATCCCACTGCCTCATCGCCCAACCTAAACGCCGCCAGCAAAAACATGGCCCGACAAGCCTCCCTCTCAGCACTCGTAGGCGGAAACTCGCCAGCACACCGCATGGGCGCCGACGGCCAGGACATTGACGTAGGCGACACCGTAGATGTCCCTGGTGGCATGGTCGGTGTCGTCAAGTTTGTCGGCAGCATCCGCGGCAAGCAAGGAGTCTTCGCCGGCGTCGAACTCAACAGAGAATACGCCGCGCGGGGCAAGAATAACGGCTCCGTCGATGGGTACGCATGCCCACCGCTCTTCTGAACACACTCCTGGGCACATGCACTGATGGCGACACAGCACACAGTACTTTGATACTTCGATCCCCAACTCCGGCATCTTCCTCCCTGTGCATCGCGCTCAAAAGCGGGTCTCAGGAGGCTCATCTGACTTTGCGCCTGAGCCAGTCACACCTTCGTACCCCAACTTCAGCCTTTCCACCACCGAAAAACCCAACTTCGGCCACGATGCGCCAAAGTCGCAATTCTCCCAATCCATCGGACCCGGTGTCCGCGCAACCAGTCCCCAGGGCAAATCCAGCCTGGGCCGCTCCTTTGCACGCCCTGAATCGCCCCATCGTCAGAAGCAAGGCTTGAGTGCCTCGCCGGCTCGCAGTGGCTCGCGCACACCCTCTGGCTTCTCCAAGAGCGCAATCGGCGCACCCCCGCGATTTGCAAGCCCAGCCCCTCCTCGCTTTGCCAGTCCTGCCCCGAGGGCTCCTCCCCTGCAGAAGCCACGGACACCCGGCCCCCAGCGATCCTACTCGCGGAGCAGCTCTCGCGTTGGCCAGCAAGATATTATTGAAGAAGACACCGAAACAACCCCCATCGGCGCAGCGCGCACAAGCAATGATTCCATATCCAGTTACAAACATCGCCGCCCCGGCTCGCGGCTGGGCTCCTCTCCTAGCGAAGAGGTGCAGCGGCTACAGGCGCTTTTGGATGAGCGAGAGAGACAACTGAAAGAGCAGGCTGCATCGCTGAGCGAAATGGAGGCAAGCCTTGCCGAGATCCAGAGCCTGATACCAGAAGATGGAATGGACATGGGGTCGGCTCATGGCAGCAACGAGCCCACCGATGTTGCACAATTACGAGCACTTCTGCGAGAGAAGAACGATAAGATTGCCATGCTCACATCCGAGTTTGACGCACATCGCTCTGATTTCCGAAGCACCATTGACACTCTCGAACTAGCCAGCACCGAAACTGAGCGAGTATACGAAAAGAAGGTCGAGGAATTGACTGAAGAACTGCGAGAATACCAGTCTCGTACTGAAGATGTTGAGACTGTCGCTATGCAGCTGAAGCAACTCGAGGAGCTTGTGCAAGAGCTTGAAGAAGGCCTGGAAGATGCGCGTCGAGGCGAGGCAGAAGCTCGAGGGGAAGTGGAGTTCCTCAGGGGTGAAGTGGAGCGTGGCCGATCAGAGCTTCGTCGTGAGCGAGAGAAGGCTGCTGCAGCTCTCAAGGGCGCGGGTGCCATGGTTGATACGCCTCAAAGCCCAAGCCAAAGAGAGGTAGAGCAACGTGACGACGAAATCCGAGGACTCAAAGCCATTATTCATTCCTTGAGTTCCGGTGGGGACGAGCGTGTTCGCTCGCCTCTATCACCACAAGGCCCTACTGTGGACGCTGAAGAGCTTGCACAAGCAAAGGCAGACGCACAGCGCCTGGAGCGCGAAAAGGAAGAGCTTCGTGGTCTTGTGGAACGCAAGGCTTACCGAGAAGAAGAACTAGAGCGTGAGATTGAGAAGTTGAAGAGCCAGCTCGGCCTCGCCGAGCAACGTGACAGCATGATTAGCAATGGCGTGTCGGAAGTCACAGCTGTACAGAAGAAGCCTTCAGAGCGTGACTCCAAAGACACAATCATGAACTGGAAGGATTCGTCACAGCGCAACACTCCTCCCGCTCTTGCAATAATGCCTGAGTCTGATGGCCGCTCATCCGTCAACAGTAGCCACCTATGGTGCGAAATCTGTGAGACGGGCGGCCACGACATCCTCAACTGCTCCGCCATGGGCGGCGACGCATCCACCTACTCCCGCACAAACGATAGCATCCACAACGGCAAAGACGGCGTCATCGAAGGTCTCCGCGGCCTCTCCATCTCCGATCGCTCCCTGTCCGAACGCCGCCCATCCATCCTCACTCCTTCCAAGACCCCCGGCAGCGCCCCCACCGCTCCTCTACCCAACCCTTCCCTCACCGCGTCCAACTCCGACCTCGTTCCTCCCAAGGGCGCCGCCATTGCCGACCCAGACAAATGGTGTGCCCTGTGTGAAAGCGAGGGTCACGATGTTACGGCCTGCCCTAACGAAGATGCTTTCTAAGTAAAGCTTTTGAAACTCATGCCGACCATGCCAACCAAAAACTTATCTACGTCCCCCCACCTTGATGAAGAATTCAACAATGGAGTTGAAAGATTATACATAACGCAGGGCGTGTTAATCACCGAGACCTAAGTAAAAGAAGAAAGAAAGAAACAAGGGCAAAGCAATGCTCTCACGACATCGCTCCCCATATCTCCCCGAAAATGAACGCATTTTGGGACTAGAGAGAACTTGTAGAAAGAAAGAAGATTGTTCCAAAGGCACACACACACACACACATACCCAACCACCCTCTCCCGCTACCAACGTACCTTTTTTGCATTTGGTTTTACGTCCGTCTTTCTTTGTTTCCAAAGAGCGCATGATATCCCATCCCCCTTCCCAATCTTTCTCTTTTTGACACACCCTCTTATTCAGCATTTTTGGGGGGTTCTCTCTTCTTCTTCTTCTTCTTAACCTTGGGTTCTTCCGTTATGTCTTATAACTGCCAATCCCAACCCCACCCTCGATAAGTGTTATGTAGTAGCTTTTTATGTAGTCAACTTATTTTATTCCATCTTATCTTATTATCTCTTTTCTTTCTGGAAGTACTAATGCTATTGTTTAATGTGTAATTTCTGTTCATTCTTAGATAATTACGTTCTGTTCAATGGACAAAGATGTGTAATATGGGAGAGACTTGCTTTTCTTCGTACGTAAAGTTGCATAGATACACAATAACACATGTACATAAAAGTCAGATTTGAGAATTTTAACCGGATATCAAACGCCCCATTTAAAAAACAATCCTTAATACCCTATGCAATTCAAGCCCTCTTCCCAGACTTGTGCTTCTTACTCTTCTTCCCCGCGCTCTCCTTGAACTTCTCTGCCTCCTTATACGCTTCCTCGACCGCTTCCCCTACTTTCCGCTTCTTCTCGCCCGTCTTAACAGACACCGTCATGCTACCTGCAGCACCCCCCTTCTTCGTCGCGTTGCTAATAGCGCGCTCGGCATCCTCCCAGTCGGTGGCTCCGGCACCAATTTCGTATCTATTGCGGGTATACGAATTAGCCAGCGTATTCAAAATTAGTAGAGTGATGGAGAAGAAAACTTACTTGTGCAAAGGCAAAGCATCAATCATGCTCCTCTGCCTCTCTCTGTCTTCTGCCAAAAACTCCTCTCCACCCTCCTTCAACTCTTCTTCCAAGTTCTTCTCCAGCGGTTTAAAGCGGCCTGCATCTCCACCGACTGTTCCTGCATTGTCTTCGATTTCCATGGCTTCAGGCATAGTTTCTTGGACTGCGCCCTCAACAATGCTGCGGAAGGCAGTGGCGACTTTGCGGATAATCTTGACGAACATGGCCATG